GTCCTGGGCTCTTCTCCAAATGATATGACAGACTTTGAAGACTCCCTATGGAAGGCCTCATGCTCCCTGGGGAGCAGAAAGGGGATGGGATAGGGGTTGTTGGGGGGAACAGGGGAGAACAGGAGGGTGTGGGCACTGGGATTGACATGTAAACCAAGCTTATTTCAAATTTAAATACAAAAATTATAAAACACACACACACACACACACCAGTTGAGTTCAAAATCAAGAGCAAAAAAACAAAGACAGAAAGTGTCTGATAAGAATCAAGGGTAGGTGATTACTTTTGAAAAATGTATGTTATTTTATGTTTAAGTGGTTTGCCTGCATATCTGCATGTGCATCACTTGTGTTGTCTGTGTTCATGGAAGTCAGAAGAGGACACTGGATCTCCTGGAACCGGAGGGATATTTTTGGTTGTGGGCTACTATGTGGAAGTTGGGACCTGAATCCAGGTCCTCTGCAAGCACAAGTGCTCCTAACCACTGAGCCTTCTCTTCAAGCCCACATGATTCATTTACTGATAGCTCATTTGTTGGTATTTTATGGAGTGCCTACATGTGTATTTGTTTCTTTGCAAGATGACACACAATTTAGAATTTATGTCAACATTGCACAACAGTTTTAGGAGTAGCACCAACTGGATTCTGTGGGTTATTAAAAGAAAAATAGGATGGGTAATTGGGAAGAGGCGGCATTGGGGAGGTTTGAGAGAGTTAGAGGGGGAAATGAGTACATATAAAAACACATTTAAACAATATGTGCCAAGTTCTTTGAAGACACAGTAGCAACAAAATTGTGCTCAACCATCCTGACCCTGCCATTGTAGACAATAGTCTAGTGGATAGAAACAAGGATGTTCAAAGAAAGCACATAAAGATATTCTTAAAATGATATTACTAATTATGGATAAATACATTCAGTGCTACATAGATAAAAGTCAGAATACAGTCTCCTTAAATCTCATTTGTTATTGCATGACTAGTGAGTTCTAATTAGTAAGCGATCTATGAAAACTTCCTTCACCTTCTTCCTGTGTTTCTAGTCAATATTTAAAATTATGTGGCAGGGTAACATCTTATTTCACTGACTTTCTCCCATTTAAACTTTCAACAGAACTAATTTTTGAACCCATATATATGTGTGTGTATACATATACATATGTATATATTGACACATAATTATATAGCCATATATATACATATACACACATACATAAATATATATATTCATTCTATGTTAAGATCCTTATAGTGTGTCAAATTTACTCAAAACTGCAGTCAGGATATATTATATGAGAGAAGAATAAATAAAAAAAGGTTAAAGAAAGCAAGTTGGAAAGTATAGTTTTAATTTAACTTTAGTCTACATATATATGAGAAACTTAGTTAATAGATACTGAATTTTGCTTTAACTCATATATTTGCAAAGTATAGTGTATGACTTTTTTAAAAATTAGATTTTTATTAGGTTAGTATACAAAGTAATGGCTTTGACTAAGCATTTTCTACACAGGTGCCATACACTGTTCTCATGTGTCCTCTCCCACTGCCAGCACCCTCTGGCTAGTTACTTTCCTTACCCATGGGGATTCCTTTCTCCCTTCTTGTTATATACATACATTCTTATTCTTTTGGTAGTCATCCTTGAGAACCATACTACATACTGAAGAAATATTTCATTTTACACAAGTGTAACATTTTATTTTTGCCATTCCTTAAAGTCAAAGCTACCAGGGAAAATGAATCCTTCAAACTGATTACTTATTGCTAATGTGACATATTCAGTTTGATCATCTGGTATAAAATAAAATATACTAAATAAATTATCTTGACAATTGCTCTTGGCACAATAAAAGGGAAGTGTATATTTTCAAATGCAAGGTCTACATTTTACCACATTGTGAGGTTAAGATGCCAGAAAAGCCACGGATTTTTTGTTATTGTTAATTTAAATCAAGAACATTTTGTTATTAGGTTGGTACACTATAGGGAAATTTGTATATAGAAGGTCCAAATACAAAGTATATCTGAAGTGTAGAACCTAAGGATGCTGGCATTTTTCCAATATCTTCTTCCTGAACACAACATATGGCATATATACTGTAACATATATGCAATTACAGGAATATTCAGTTTGCAAAAATCACAATCTCAGATATAGTGTGTCCAGGCCATAACATTTTCTAGGAACTTTTTAAATGAAACTTGTGAAAGCATGAAGCCAGCAATATCTAATGCAGAAAACTTTAGGTGAGCATTAGTATAAATAAACTAATGGTCATAGTGCCAGGACTAAGAAAATAACCACAGTGTCATAAGGACTTCACGAAGCAGACAGATTACACAAACATTACTTTAATAAAAAGGCTGTTCTTAGCTATTGTTAAAGCTATTGCTTTAAAAATTTCTTTAGCACAGATAACTAAAAGCATATGATTTAAAACAAAAATGGTTGATTCTGTTTCTACAGAAATCAAGTCATGACAATACCTGAGAAAATCCATGTGTTCATAGAAAAAAAATCTGTTCAATTCATAACACTAATTATGACAGAGTTTAGAGCTGATTAAGTGGATGTGCTTATTTGGCAAGCAACCACAATGTAAAAACAAATAAGAACTCATGGTAGTGAGTCAGTACTGTACCAAGGAGATTGTCATTCAGTTTCTATAATGTTCACCTCAGGTACCACTGACAGAAAACTTCACTGTCATGCCGAATCAGCCTTTCTACTTACCTAACTCTGGTGAAGAGGTATGTGCAGCAATGGGCATAGAGAGCAGCACATGGTGCACACTTAGGGGTTTTTGTTTGTTTGTTTTATTTTTAATTTAAATTAGAAACAAACTTGTTTTACATGTTAGTCCCAGTTCCCTCTCCCTCCCCTCCTCCCATGTCTCCACTAATCCCCATTCCTTTTCTGCTCCTCAGGAAGGGTAAGGCCTTCCATGGGTAGTCTTCAAAGTCTGTCATATATATGTAGACTAAAGCTAAATTAAAACTATACTTTCCAAGTTGCTGTCTTTAACCTTTTTTTATTTATTCTTCTCTCATATAATATATCCTGACTGCAGTTTTGAGTAAATTTGACACACTATAAGGATCTTAACATAGAATGAATATATATATTTATGTATGTGTGTATATGTATACGTATATATATGGCTATATATAATTATGTGTCAATATGTAAATATATACATATGTATATGTATATACACACACATATATATGGGTTCAAAAATTAGTTCTGTTGAAAGTTTAAATGGGAGAAAGTCAGTGAAATAAGATGTTACCCTGCCACATATTTTAAATATTGACTAGAAACACAGGAAGAATGTACCAAATTAGTAAGATTCAGGTGGTATTTCTGGCTTTACCACTATCAAATTGATTTCAAGCGAATGTTTCAAAGCATAGTGAAACTCCAGCATGATGTCTTTTATGTGAACAACATTCCTGTCCTTCTTCTCAATACCTTTCTCAAAGTTCACAACAAAGTGAGAAACTCATCTAATGTGGCACCTTAACATTCTGTACCAATATCTCAACATAGCACTCATCTTATTATTTTGTCTCTCCATGTTCTGTCATATATAATAAGGTCTTTGAGCTCAGAGTATCATTTACTATAGTTACACTAGTTTCTAGTATAGTGACTAACATTATTACTGGCTTGAGACTACAACCATAAATAATTATGTATCCTAACAAAGATAATCAAATTCAGTTCCACTTTCTTTTTAATAAACATAATAGTGGCTACTGGCATGGTTCAGCAGGTAAAGGTTCTTATACCAAGTCCGACAACCTGAGTTCAGTGTGCAGAAAGAGATAAAAGACACTTCCAAGTTGTTCCCTGATTGTCACTTGTGCATTGTAGCAATGTGCCAGTCAATCAATCAATCAATCAATTGATCGATCAATCGATCAAAGTAATGCTAGCATGTGCCTGTATTACATCTGATTCTGACCAAATTAATCTTTTATCTGCCTCTTCCTGGTGTCCAGGACATCAACCTATTTCCTTCATGGCCTTATTCTCAATACTATCAATATCATTTTTATTTGGAAAATTATTCTACATGTAAATCTTGAATTTTCTTGCTTCCAAATACAGATAATTTGTTTTAAGCTCTTTTCAAAGACCAAAAAATGTTAAATACTCAGAACAATATTGGTTTTTAACATTGAATCATTATCTCATTCTTTAAAAATTATAACATTAAACTATTATATAATTTTGACATTGAATTTCCAGCAATTAAGAAATATTTACAGTATATGAGCTACAGCTATGAGCATTCCTGGTGGCTAGAATAGAGGTTAAAGGGTCTGATGAGGAGCACATCACTTCAAACATTTGCTTTGTGAAATTCCATATATAAGTGGAACAAAAAAATTCCTAAAGTTTAAAAAAGTAGTATTTAATGATCACAGCTACTCTATGAGTTCAGTGTTAGAGCTCAAATTCCTCCTCAGTCTTGAACCTTATATCTCCTTCAGCAATTAATACTTTAATATTTTTTATCACAAGCATCCAAAAGCAAAATACAACCTTAAGTTTGCTTGCTGGTTTTCATCCATCTTTAATGGCAATTTCAAACATCAAACTAGTGCAACTTTGAATCGAAGAGTTTCTTTCACTTAGTTACTTTAAATCTGAACTTTAAAGAAGAGCAAAACCATACAGTTTGGAAAAACAAAACCAATCTGTATTTATATTGACTTGGTTAATTATGTGTTTATTTTATGAAACACTTGACAGTCAGAGCTTTAAAACAATGTTCTTGGCAGAGATGCTATAACAAGAACCCAAGAATCAGATGTGTGGCTGATTAGATGACTTAAAATTCTATTCTGCTCTAAAAGTCAGGATGTAGGTCATGAGTCAATTTAAGGCACACTCTATGCTGAGCAAGGCCATCATATTTCCTGAACAACAGCAATGTTTGTGAAAGGAAAAGCCTGGCAGCCAAGAGCGGAAATCAGACTTACGAGTACTGTGTCAGCAGCTCCAAGTCATTGTGCATATTGATTGGATAGGCTTCACTGAGTTCAAACAACTTCTCTAGGGCTTCATAGATAAAAATGATGCAAATGAGTGAAGCAAAAGCTTCTTCAGTAAAGCGAGTGATATAGCAGACAAGGGAACTCGCATCGGTGGCCACAAGGATGATACACAGGGTTGCAGTCCAAAGCCCAATACTGGCTCGTAAAGACAAGTATGACAGCCCATATTCCCTAGGAGAAATACAGAAGTGTGGGAAGAAGGTCATTTTGCAGCTTTCTATCACTGAAATAAGTGGAAATAAGATTAATTCAGGAAGTGACAGTAACTTTACATCCCATGGGTCGCTAAGTGCAAGACTTTGTCTATAGAGAAATCTAAGGGGACAAACTAATGGAGGTTTCTTGGCGCTTAAGGTGGAATCTTGTTTCTTATAAATATTACATGTATTATATATGCAGAAATCTTTTAACTTTTCCTTCATTTCCATTGAGAGACAAAAATGACAACATGAATCATACTAGTCAGTCTCATTTCTCCCCAAAGATCTCCAAAACTGATGTTGGATGAAGAAAAACAGCAATAAAAAAAGCATATAATAGACAAGAGTAACAGTACTTACTTGCAAAATTTAAACAAAATCTTTTCAAACACCAAAACAGGTCCTGTACTGCCTAATATGGTAAGGGGCTGTCCACCAAAAAGAGAATAGGCTATCCCGGTCATAGATGCTCCAAAGAGTGATTCGATTGCACTCTGTGAAAGAAAATGTAGATGGATCCATTACCTAAGCTAAACAGGCAATTATCGTGATAGGCACAAACATTTCAAATATGCTGGTTTGTAGTTCTACCCTTTACCACATTGTCTAGCAACCCCAGGCAGAATATTAGAAATAAGGCTGAGAAAATGGCATGTAGGGTAGAGAATTAATGACGGCAACTGGAAAGTATAATCTATGCCTCCTTATTTCACTTTTTATTGTTTTATTAAACATTTAAATATTTTTCAGAGTCAATGTCTGAAAAGAAGCATGTATCAGGCTTTTGAAAAATGGACCAAACCTGAAACTGATGTAGAATTTTAGATCAAGGGACATGGAATCAGGCCATAGCCTTGTATAAGACTCAAAATAAGTATTTCCTAGACATTTTATTCCCAGATCACCAGCTCCACTAGCCATCCAGGAAATTCATAGGAGGTTTATAGGCTGGACCATGTACCAAATCTCTCTTCAAAATCCCAAATTCACATTAAGGTTCAAAGTTCAGAGAAAAGCACAATACATACTATACGACCTTCAGTTGCTTCTCCCAACAGTCCTCCAAACGTGATGACAGGAGACATGCACGCACAGTAGAGAAACAGGAAAGATGCTAAACATTGCAGGCTGAAAGCATCTCTGAAGTCACTCCAGAAGAATGGAGCTTTCCTTTTGATATCTAATATAAGTCCCCCAAAAATCCTAAGACATGGGGGAAAACACAACAGTGAAACCAAAAGATAAAAACTTACATTGTGCATTTGTTCTGTTGCCTGGTCACAGTAATATTTTCCACCAGCACAGATGAGACCCATGTTAGACTACCACACTGCATCATAATGACCTACAGGAATAGTTTTGCACTACTACAATACCCCAAATAGTGTTCCTACAACTAGAAAATCACCAGAGTTTCTAAAATAAGATGCAGGGATTCATCCAATATCTCAAATAAGATTCATCAATCAAATTTTAAATAATGAGATTTGTAGGTTATTTCAATGTCTGTGTCATTTCTTCATTAACACACACCATCTAAACTCAGGCCTTCACTGTCAACCTTGGAAGTATTTTCTAATACTTTTCACTTAATTTAGCATGGCAGAAAATGAGACAGAGAGACAACTGGTCTGTGTGAATATTGGTAGCAAACATCACCTTAAAGGGAATAAAGCCGTGTTCAGTCAGGACTCCAGTCCCCTATTCCCTCTGCCCACATCAAGGTCTCTCAACAAAACCTTGTTTAAGAGGACAACTAAACAGGCATGTGGATAGCAACATTCAATAGACAGACTCTGAGGTTGTTTTCAGTTTTAGGAAACTGAGAAGTTAACCTAATATAATAAAACCAGATAAATTTTATTTTGATCTACTATTTCCAACACACATTCTAATACCTATCAGTTACAATGGCCTTTCCTGGAAATAATTCACTTATTCCTAATATGATAAAGAAAAATCCTTCAAATACTTCAATGAGTTTTGGTTTTGGTTCAGGAATTTTAAATTGTAAACTGATGCTTAACATCTGAGCACCAACGTTCTTTAGTGTATTAGGAATGAGAACATTAATAAGTAGGTATTATCATCATTTGAATATTTGATAACATTAAAATTTAATATATGATATTAAAATTTCATTTTATTTCATGGAATAAAGATGTGATTGTAGAGTAAGACAGCAATATGGTTCCTATACGAAGGTCAATGATTAAAAACAAATATTTTAAAGCTGGACAGGGTGGTACATGACAAAAAGGCCAGCACTCCAGAGGCAGGAGGCAGAAGGGTTGTGAATTTGAGGCCAATCTGAAACATAAAGCAAGACTTTGTCTCAGAAAGAGGTAATAAAGCAAACTCTGGAGGCTCCTGAATTCAGACGCTATGCTGAATGTTCTTGAATCATAAAAATTAAATGTTTGTTTTCTTATGTGTACTTTTACAAATAAGTGTACTTTTACAGTGTTGTCTCAAAAATAATTGTTTTCTTAAGAACCAAGTTATACTTGACCTTGAAATTACAATCAACGTATTTTTTTTCATTTATTTATTTATGTGTGTGCCTGTGAGTTGTCAGAGGACAACCCGAGGGAGTCAGTTTTCTCCTTGTACTATGTGGGTTCTGGGCTCGGCACGGAGCCATCTCATCAGCTCTTCAATACTATTTTTAAATTCCCCTGACCTTATGGAGACATAACAATTGTCTATTTGTAATTATATAATGGTTTGTGAGTGTGACAATTACTGTTTATTTAACCAGAAAGGATGAGAAGAATAGAATTTTGAGACAAAAGGACATTTGAAACTCAGAGGCACTTACAGAGAACATGTGGACCTTATAGGTATAAAAACTCTTCATAGATCACTCTGTGTTTGGTAAAACATACTCGTGTTAATGCTGAATAGTTTCTATTTCTGAATAATGCTACCCTGTCTAAGTCAGAGCTCAAAGTAGATTTATTCTACTAGCATTCATTTATGATTTATATCCTACCTAGTTCTAAAAATAATTCGAGATAGTTATGAACTATTAATTGGTAATTAATATTTATAGTTTTGATAGCATTTTATATTAGACCAATGCTTTGTAATTAATCACTTATTAGATCATACATTAGTCTGAGTAGTTATTATATAGTTATGTAATTAATAAATGTGCTTTTATTGGTAAAAATCTATATCCAGAAGTGGGAGTTCGTTACAGAAGAAAGTGCAAGAGCAGCCCAGATGTGCACCAGCATCTCCAGGAGAGCAGATGAGTAATGGATACTTCAAGTCATGTCAGCAACAGAATCTGTGGAAGAACTCTGGAGAAGCGAAGATACCGGATATTGTTGACCTGGGAGGATTTAGGAAGCAGTAAGGAAAGTGAACTCGAAAAAAATCTAAGCTATGTGGCATGTTACACCTGAGAGAAAAAGAAAAAAGAATATACCACCACCAAAAATAAAAAGACTGTATTTGAAAGTATGAAAGCAAACAGAATGAATAACAAGGCTTCCAGTGAAAAGAAAAGGAAAAACTTGAACCATCTAAAAATAGGTATGAAGCCAAGGAAGATGCTAACGGACATATTTCCTCAGAGACAAACAATGATAAAGGGAAAACACAGAATTAAAATGCAGAGTTGTCAGGGACGGGAACATCATCTCAGTGGGCATACTGCAAGCAGTATAGAAAACGGCCCAAGGGTAGGGCCGCCATTCCTACAAAGCCTTGGCAATTGTCTTTAATTATAGGGAGGCTGTCCACACAAGTTCCCTGAAGAGACATCCACCCAAGGGTTTCTGATTTTCTCCTCACACATTGCTTGAAGAAAGACAAGCTGTCAAAAACCCATAAAAAACATTTTATGAAATAAATTGAAGCTTTCATCTCTTCAAAGGTGTGTGATTAGAAAAATAAATCATATAGCTCTTTCACATCACAGGCATAATAATAAAAATACCATTATATACATCCTACTAGCATTTAATGAGGTAAGGTCTACAGGACTTAATTCTTGGTATTTAGTTTTAATTCCATCTTGAACTTGAGGCTTTCAACATGCTGTTTTGGAAGCATCAACTGACAGTTTCCTTAGATTCATTCTAAGACTCTGAATATATTTTATGCTTCATAAAATGAAAGACTAAGATAAGATGGAATGGTGTAGCCGCTGCTCTATTTTAACAGTAGTGACAATCATTATTCACTTCAGAGAAATCAAATTAATTGGCATTTCACTCTCAAAGAGTAGCTATTAAAAGTATAAAGTAAATTAGATCTAGAAACAACAATTCCTGACCGATAAGAATGACACACCACTTAAGTCCCATACAAGTTGTTTGCACTAACCTTCCAGTTCGCTGGAGCTCAGGTCCACTGTGTCCTCCATGTGGCTCGGCCTCACCATGAGCTGCTGTTCCATTTGGTACAGCAGGAATTTTCCTCTTCTCCTGCAAAAAAGTTTTTGTTGACGTATATTTTGTTGTAATGTCAGACCTTAATGACAATTTTTTTTTCTCAGTAAAGCCATGTGTAAAAAAGATAAGTCCACAGGTTCTGTGACTTAGTGGCTGCTTAACCTATGAAAATCCATCCCTCATCACTGGGGATGACAACAGTACCTATTTATGAATTAACTAGATGAGTGATGGCATTTCTTAATTCATACACCTACCAGTTTTGAGGTGCACAATTTTGTGCCAAACATCAATATAGATACTACAGTTGCAATAGTATACAGAAAATATTAGTGTTCTAGGGCTAGGATACACACAGCTCACTGGAATGTCATTTGTCTATCATGTTTAAGCCCCTGAATTCATTTCTATCATAAAAGAAAGAGAAGAAAAAGTATCTACCATGTTACTATTTTTAAGTACTATTGTCTTTTTCCACTCTAGATCATGTCTTTCTAGAAAGGAATATGTTATGCTATTAAGTCTTCATGACTCAGATGCAATTCTATTACAAAAGGAAGCTTTTATTTGAACCAATGACAATTAACTGAGGTTTATGCAAGGGTTCTTTTCCCTCAGATTAATTCCACTTACTTTTGTCACTGACAGAGGCGTTTGAAATAAACAAATCAGAAAATCTCCCTAAAATTCCACCTCTGGTCATCTTAGATAACATCAATGTATTTTAAAAGTACTTAAGGAATGATAAAGAATTTTTTACGTTGTGTAATTAAAATTTTTACTTGACTGTCTGATGGGAGATGTCATTCTGTAAATATATTTCTCATACTGGGTAATGAATAGAGCACTGTTGGCCAATAGGAAAGCAAGAGAGGAGGGATTAGGAGACAAGGAGGAAGTAGAAAGGGGGAATCAAGATGGAGAGACTGGGGAGACAAGACGCCTGCCCCATTTCCCGTTAACATGAGACCACGTGGAAATACATAGATCAACAGAAATGGGATAATACTTAAGACAGAGCTAGCCGATAAGAAACTAGTACCTGGCCAACAGCATTATATCAAATACAGAGTCTCTGTGTGTAAATTGGGGCTGGCGCAGCAGCGGGACAAATATGGCTGCGGGGGAAAAAACATTACTCCTTACAACTGTCATTCCAAACTAGAATTAGTATGATTGTGAAGCACAAAATTGATATGTTAGTTTACCTTATGCACAATGGGACATTTAGATAGAATGACACATTTCACACATGAGAAAATGTGTTTTTGTATTAAGCATAATATAGGAAAGCTTCTTATTTAATATTTATACAATTCCTAGAGGTATATGTAAAGACTCACTAAAGTTTAAAGATAAAAGAGAAGCTATATTTCAACCTATGAGAGGTTTATTTTCACAGATAAATATAAAATATTCATAACATGATTTAAGGGTGGCCATCATTATTTACAATTACCTAGGGAAACATGTCACAGCTTCTAAAGCTCTCAGAAAACAAGTGGCCATTTGTGGAAATAATCCTCCTAGGATAATTTAACTTTTACTTTACAAATGTAAAGAGCCATATGCTGATAAAATAGATAATTAAGATATTAACCATTCTAAAGCACATGTTTTCTCAAGGAGTAAAATGCATTGAAAAATGTAAGGTGCATAAATAATATCAATAAGTAGTCTTAAGAAACAGAACCTGTTGTAGTTGTGAAACACATGTATTTTTTTTAATATGTGTGAAAGACCCCTAAAGTACACCAGTAGATGAATTAGGCTTGTAGTGCATACATTCTCATAGGAAAGAAATTTTAAAAATTAAATATTTAATTCTACAGTATTTTAAAAAGAAGGAAATCTATGGAAAAGGAAACTTTTGCATGGAATACAAGGTGTCTGAGGTGACTGGGAGGGAAGGCAAGAGTGGCAATTATAAACTGAGTTTTTGAATAGGTCTCATGGAAAGTGCCACTTGAGAAAACTCGAGGGAAGTAAGAGAAATAGGCATGCTAAATAATTGGAGGATACCAAGGAAGGAAGACCAGAGAGTGCTATAGTCTTTAGGATCAGAATGCCTGGAAGGTTTGAAGAACACCAGGAAGTAAGAAATAGTAGAGATAAAGTCATAGAAAAGTGGGGAGAGATGATAGTATAGAGACTTAATAAGCCAGTACACCTATCTGGCTTTTATTCTCCATGAAATGAAAAAAATATTTCCAAGGTTTTGAAGAAAGAAATGATATAAGATAACTGGGAATTACTTTGACTATGATGTTGGAAAGAGACTCTAGGACACAGGACACAGCACCCAGTTACAGAACTATCCATGAGAAAGGTGATGGAAAGTTGAATCAGGGTGGTCACAGTGAGAAATAAACACAAATAATGATAAACATTGAAAGTAAAGCCAACAGAATTCTCTGGAAGACTAGATATAAGTTATAAGATGAAATAATGGATTACTTGGGCCTGATCAATTATAAGGATATATTTAATTATTAACTAAATTTGGAAGATACAATCATAATTGATTTTGAGGAAAACTTTGGAGGAAACATATCATATGTTGCTTGTCTTAAAATTGGAATTACAAAGATAAAGATAAAGAAGCAAGACCACATACAATTTGCTTTAAATTTTCAAAATGTTCAGTTTAAATAGCTATCAAATATTCAAGTGGATACACAAGCTAGGAAGATGACTAACATGTGAGTTCAGTTTAGAAAAGGTTTAAATTCTAAGAATGGATGATAGATATTACTAAGAACATGAATGTAGATAGCAGAAAATGTGACTAGAGAGAACATAGGTCATGGTCTACATGATAGTTTCAATATAAGGAAATCAGAGAGAGGTGGAAGAACCAGAAGAAAAAAAACTGATAAGGGGCTGACCCTGGAGACTGCAGAAACACCAAGAGACAATTGTTGAACTAAGTAAAGAAAGTACACTAAAGATAAGGGCATCACCAATTCTATCAAATGTTGCTATTCCTTCTCTAAGTGCAATATAGATCAATAAGTTACCATGATTTTTATTCATTGTGGATGGCACTGATGGCAATAATTAGTTGAGGGGATTAAAGTGGGGAGGACAGGTATTTAATAAGAAGCAGAGAAAAAGTGGTAGAGACATATAGTATAGAGAACTTCTCTACAACATTCTACAGCAAAGGAAAACAAAGTATACAACTGACAAGTAATGATGACAAAGCAGTTATTTCAAGATTATGACTTAAAAGTATACTAACAAAATGATATAACACAATGGACTGATATAATGATGAGAGATGGAGTTTTAACAGAGCAAAGTCCTTGAGGGGACCACAGAGAGGGGATGTGGTGCACACTGGAATGTTAACTTTCATCAGAAGCGACGTAGGGAAGGCTGCACTGACAAATGAATGAGCTGGTCAGAATCTGTGGAAGTCTTTTTGAGTGTTTCAAAATGTTAATAAAACTGAGGGACAGTAAACATGTAGCATTAAGAGGCACAGAGGGTATGATAAAAAATGGAGCACAAGTGTGCAATGGTCACTTCAAAACAATGACTGGCCTTGAGAAGAATGGGATGGTCACCATGTAGCATGAAGGGCTCACTGGAGTCCCATGATCATTAAGTTATGGGATGCTAGTCAATGAAGTCGTAGTTTCCCCTTCTGCTTTGGTAACAACAGTGTGGGTACATAGTAAAATCTGAATCCTCATGGAGTTGTGATTTTGACAACCAAGTACCTGACATGAAGAGAATAAAAAAGATGGAGGAACACATAAGAAAGTGACTGACATTTGAGGAAAAAGAAGAATTTCAGGCTGATCTCTTGAGATGACAGGTTGTTTTCTTTTTTTTAACTGAAAGGAAATGCATTAAAATGCTGTCATCTGTTCATTTCAAAAGAATGAAAAGCACAGAAATTATTTGATGAGGTTAACATTATTTAAATGAGTGCGAATTCAGGATGTATAATATATGCTAATTCATTTTGGTTCCTTAATAAACGAAAACAGCTCATATGATCTAGTATTTAAACATAGCATTGAGTTTTAAAATATTAATGTTATAATGAAGTGTACCATGTATATATAATTCATATTCAATGGATAAAATCTTGCTATCTAATATTATAGCCTTTATCCATGTGTCTATACAAGTTTAAGTTAACTAAAATAAAAACTCAATTTGTTAACTGCAGGATCCACATTACTAGCATTTAATAGTAGCTGGGTGACTAGGGAGCATCACCATAGAATTCTTCCTTTATTGGAGAAATTCTATTGAGCAGTTCTGAAACAAAGCATCAGTACTGATTGGATAAAATATTATTCAAGGTCAAACAAACACACAAAGGCAGAACCTAGATACTAGAATCCCTAATTCAATGTTCATTATATTACTATCTCCCAATACCTGGAATTTTTTAATTCACATATTCTCATAAAAAAACAATAGGAAATACAGATTTCCAACCATTCACCTTGCCTCAAAAACACCATTCCTCAACATTAATGTACTTTTAACTTTTCAAGATTAATTGGTGTTAGAGTGAGTTACAAAGTCTCACTTTCAATATCTTAATAGTTTCATTAAATGTATCTAAATATCATTAATTAGAACTTTTCTATTATTTTAGAAACTGTCACATTGCCATTTCTAATATCATCAGTACAGAGACATGTATGTGTAGAGAAATAAGAAAGCCTTTACAATCACTATCTAAGCCATTGTTTTTACTTTAATAGCAGAAGAAGTTAAATTGCATGGTTTCAGTAATCAACTACAAAATGGTAATTGTTAAGAAAAGTAAATAGACTTTAGTAATGATAGAATGATTTCAAATATTAATATTATATTTTTAAGCTGACAGAGGAGTTGACATGACCTTTTTTTCTTTAATATACTCATGGTTAAGTAATATATATACTTGCCAGTTTGCACACTTTTTTTTTTTGGCAGGGATTCTCTGTGTAGTTTTGGAGCCTATCCTGGAACTCACTCTGTAGATCAGGCTGGTCTCAAATTTACAGAGATTGGACTGCCTCTGCCTTCCAAGTACTGGGATTAAAGAAGTATGCCACAATCACCGGGCCTCAGTGTGCCCACTTCTAACTGACCTGAAAATCTAAGTCCAGGAATGGGTCAGTAGACCCATATCTCAGCTCAGTCAGAACACCAGAGTCAGACAAGGCTGGATTCTGCAGGACCAAGGGCCAAAAGGAACTGAAAGAATGTGGGAGGCAGATCCCAAAGGAACAAAGAGGCAACATGAAAATGGGACTACAGACATTTGGCCATCATTTTCAACAGTCATGCCTGAGATAAGACAATGCCCTAAACATGAACAACAGTCTTTATTATTTCCTTCTGTAATATAGAATAGGTAAAATACACATTTGATTTGCATAGGCAGAATTTAAAAAATTATTCCATACATGAAAGGATACAAACATAATCATGATGAAAAATTTTCCCCAATTTCTATTGTAATTAGCAGTAATAGGGAGTTTGTACAAAACATGATTAGTCCTCTTTTTAATTTTCCTAATCTTCATCAACTTCCAAAGCACTTAAAATAATGAGCTTTATCTCAGGTCATGTTATATGCTGTTATTCCACTTAGTATTTCCCCAATGTAATATCTGTTATGTTGGGTCTGTGACTCATGATCAAAATGCCAAATTTCTCAATGTGTTAGGTCTTAACAAGAACATTTTGTAAATTCATATTTTTGCTTTCTTGGAATAGGTTACATCATTTGATACTTTATGAAGCATTGCATTATTTCGGGACCTGAATTTAAAGGAAACCAAAGTGTTAGAATTTTTAAAAAATGTTTTGGAATACACCTACCTGGGAAGGAACATTTTTTGGAGGTTCTATCCGGATACTTGGGTCCCATTCTCCAGGAGGGAGAACCGTAACTTGGTCCAGAAACTCATCAATCCCTGACACCAAGTCATTGCGGTCTTTAGCCTTGTAAGCAACATCATGAAATACCTACAGGAGAAAAGCAGCAGCACATAATAACCTATTAAAATATTAGTAGAATTAATATAATAAAAATGTCCTTCCTACCAAATACAATATACATAATCAATGCAATGCCTATCAAAATTACAACACAATTATTCACAGACAAAAATGAAAGAAAAATTTTGGCTTCATATATGTGTAAACACAAACACCCGGAATAGCTAAAACAATCCTGACTGATCAAAGAATTGTGTGTGTGTGTGGGGGGGCGGTGGTTGTGGACACCATCATCTCCAATTTCAAAGTATATTACAGAACTATCATTAAAAAACCATTGGTCAAAACAGATATTTTGGCCAATGAAATCAAATTGAAGACTCAGACATAAATCAATATGTCTATGGACATACATATATTTCTGTATATGTATGTGTATTGTACATTTCTGTATATATGTGTGTGTATGTATATATATAAAGAATCAAGAATTACACAGTGGAAAAAGATAGCATTCTTAACACTGAACTCATTAGAAGAAAAAGTGGGGAATAGCCTTGAACTCAACAGCACAGGATAAGACTTTCTGAACTGAATACCAGTAGTACAGACACTAAGATCAATAATTAGTAAATGGGACCTCATGTGACTGAAATGCTTCTGTAAGGCAAAGGATACTGTCAATTAGGCAAAGCAACAGCCTGCAGAACGGGAAAACATTTTCACCAACTACACATCAAATAGAGGGCTAATATCCAAAATATTAAAAGAACCCCCAAAAAACTAGATATCAAGAAAAACCAATTTAAAATTGGGGTACAGATCTAAACTGAGAATTCTCAATAGAGGAAATTCAAATGGCTGAGAAACACTTAAATGTTTAACATCCTTAGTCATTAGGGAAATGTAAATCAAAACTACTTTGAAATTTCATCGTACACCTATGAGAATGGTTAAGATCAGTAAAACAAGGGACAGCTCATGCTGGAAAGGATGTGGAGAAAGGGAAACATTTCTGTTTTTCTGGTGGGAGTGCAAACTTGCATAGGAACTATTGAAGTCCACATGGTGGTCACTAGGTAATATAGGAATTGATGTCCCTCAGATACAGTTGTTAACACTCTTGGTCATATACCCAAACGGTCTTCATCCTACTATGAGGACACTTGCTCAGGCATGTTCATTGCTGCTCTACTCATAATACATGAATTGGAAACAAACTAGATGTCCCATAAAGAAAGAAGAATGAACAAAGAAAATGTGACACATTTCCTTTACAAATGGAGTATTAAAAACTGAAATCATGAAATTTGCAGATTAATGGATGTAACTAGAAAAAATATAATTCTGAGTAAGGTGTCTCAGGCCCAGAAGTACAAACATGATTTGTATGTGCTTATTTGTGGATATCAGCTGTTAACTCAATGATAAATAAGCTACAACCCATAGAACCACCACAGAGGTTAGGTTAAGGGACTGGGGGGGGGGGTAGTGCAGATAGATCTTCCTAGGATGGGATCCATCTAGGATGGATGGATTGGGGAACTAGAATGGGAGGATCAAGTGGGGAGGAAGAAGAAGAGGACAACAAGGGTGAGTATGTAAAGTGACTGCCAAAATTGAGGGCCATTTGATGGATAGTATGAAGACCTAATACAGTAGAAACTTCCTAAAATATATGCACATATGAAGGTGATCTAAATGAAATCACTAAATAATGGGTGAGACAGAGCCCAACCAGTTATTTGTTACCAAATGAAGCTCTCAGTCCTGGGACTGGTACATCTAATTGAGTTGTTGGCCCAAAAGGTCATATGGGAATCCCCACATAACCCAGTCTATTTCTAAGATAGTTTTCTCTCCACAAACTGATGTCAAGGCAACTTAACTGATATTACTGAAGGCAACACATACATAATTTCATTGAACATGGAGAAGTTGCGCTGTTTCCTACATAGCCTTCACACCTAGTGCTAGCACCTTTGGTACAGGAAGGTATCCTGAATGCCACCAAAAGAGAAAAGTAAACACCAACTGGGCCACAAACCTTTTGATCTACAACAGTGTCTTACCTGAAAGATATGCTAGGACAATGATGGCACAATGCTTGAGGGAGTAATTCACAAATAACTGATTTGACTTAAGGCCCACTCCATGCACAGGATGGAATCCATTCCTGACACTGCTTGCGTGGCCAAAAACCTGAGACTAGATAGCTAATCTTTCAACCCTTTCTTCCATGGTCTTCCCTGAACTTTAGGGTTTGGGTTACATTGTAGTTGTGTCCTCCACAGTCATTTATTTTCTGCCTTATAACCAGATCAGGTGTGGATCTCTGTAATAGTCTCCATCTACTGCAAAAGCATCTTTGATGAGGGAAAATAGCTACATGTATTTTTTAAATCACTGATTTTAAGATTCATATTGTTCTCTTATAGGGTTTTGTAAGTCAAATATAAGTAAAATAATTATATTAAATAATAGAGACCTAATTACTGGATAAAATATTCAATTATAGAAACTTTTTTTTTTTTTGGAGAACCATAGGTTTTATTGGGCTCAATGCAGGTTTTGTTTAGTTGTTTTGTTTTGAATTTTGCTTTGCTTTTAACAATTTTTTTTAAAATAACTTATTTCAGGAAGTGGTCTCCTATGACAATGGATTCAAAGGTACTTCCAACTTTCTCTTCTAGGAGGTTCAGTATGACTGAATTTATGTTGAGGTCTTTGATTCATTTGGACTTAAGTTTTATGCATGGTGATAGATATGGATCTATCTGCAGTCTTCTACATACCAATATCCAGTTATGCTAGCACCATTTGTTGAAGATGCTTTCTTTTTGCCATTGTATAATTTTAGATTCTTTATCAAAAACAAGGTTTTTATAGGTATGTGGGTCAATATCAGGACTTTCAACTTGATTCAATTGGTGTACCTGTCTATTTTTGTGCCAATACCAAGCTATTTTCATTACTATAGCTCTATAGTAGAACTTGAAGTCAGGGATGGTTATGCCTCCAGAAGTTCCTTTATTATACAGAGTTTTTTGGATCCTGGATTTTTGTTTTTCCATATAAAGTTGGGTATTGCTCTTTCAAGGTCTGTGAAATATCCAGAGATCTATAAGGATTATGCCGACTGGGAATCTAAGCAATAGTGGAGAGGCTACCTTAAATGCCCTTCTCCTATAATGAGATTGATGACTACCTTAAATGTCATCCTAGAGCCTTCATCCAGTAGTTGATGGAATCAGAAAAAGCTAAGCACTGAGCTGTACTCCTGGGGCCCACTTGTAGAGAGGGAGGAGTGATAAGCAAAGGGGTTAAGACCATGTTGGGTAAAGTCACAGAAACAGCCGACCTGAGCAAGTGGGAGCTCAAGGACCCCAAACTGACAGCTAGGGAACCAGTATGAGACTGAACCAAGCCCCCTGAATGTGGATGTCAGTTGGGGAGGCCTGGGCTGTCTATGGAGCCTGGGCTGTCTATGGGGCCTCTGGCTGTGGAACCAGGCTTTGGGAACCTGTTCTCTATGGAGAGATACTCTTTTAGCCTAAACACATGGAAGAGAGCCTAGGTCCTGCCCCAAATGATGTGACAAACTTTGATGATCCCCCATTGGAGGCCTCGCCCACCCTGAAAAGTAGATGGGGGATAGAATGGGGCATTAATGAGGGGAAGGGGAGGATAGGAGGGAAAGAGAGCTAGGATTGGTATGTAAAATAAGATTATTTTTAATTTCAATAAAAATTAATTAAAAAACAAAATCAAAATAAATAACAATTAATTTTCATGTTCATTGGTGTTTTGCTTGTGTGTATGTCTGGGAAAGGGTGTCTGATCCCCTAGGACTACAGACAGTTGTGTGTTGCCAGGTGAGTTCTGGGAATTGAACCCAGATCCTCTGAAAGAGCAGATAGTACTCTTAGGTGCCCAAATAATATTTTTCTCCTCTAAGATAGAGTTTCTCTATGTTCCTCTGGCTGTCATGGAAGTCACTCTGTAGACCAGGCTAGCCTAGAACTCAGATATCTTCCTACTTCAGCATCTGCAGTGCTGAGATTAAAGGAGTATGACTAAAGTAAAAAAAAAAAAAAAATAGATAAGTACATAAACAACTGCCACACACATACACATGAACAATAATATGGAGTGCATTTAAACTAACTATTTATGACCTGAACATGGGGCCTACACTAGGTGGTGATGGTTTTACTAAGTTTTACGAACCTGTAAGGGCCCAGTGTTGGTGGTGGCTGCAGTGGTGGCAGAGGAGGTGGTGGCAGTGGCATTAATGTAGCATTCACTCATTTATTATGAATAATAGAAACTTAATCTGAGCAACTGACTCATAAGAGGAAAATGGGCAAAATATCTATGACAGAATTTAGTTAGGATGGGAGAAAGGAGTCACCACAGAAGGAGGGGGGAGAGTAAAATAATGCTAAGAAGGTTCTGAAAGTGCATTAGGAAACATATTTTTTGTTAATGTTATATGCAACACAGACAACTCTATATGTATACATTTCAAATGAAATGATCCCATTTGGGTTGACAACAATACCCCTGGAACCATAGATTACCTCACCATAACCCCAGTACCAGGCATGAGAAACACCCATTTGTGTTGTTAGTCGGGAAGTCCGAGAGACTCCATAAACAATATGAAGTATTGCTGTTGCTCTTGGTTGCCTCCCAAAGACTGAAGATAAATCCCCATTTATTAAGATAACATGCACTTCAGATAAAAGAACCAGATATCCTGAGCTGAATCTGATCTGAAAGCCTCCTTCCTGAAGACAAGCTTTGATAGCACCAACATGTGACTAACGGAGGAAAAGCAACCAATATTGCTAACCAGCTGCAAATTCTATGACCCACAACAACACACAGCATGGCCTGATAACACTAAGGGTGCAACAGTACCATTCATATTTTATTGCTGGATTTAAGCTTCTGACCAACAGAAGGGAAATCATGACTTTTGCTGGGAACCTAGCCAACCAGCCAGGGCTAGTGAAGAGAACACACTATTGCTACTTTACTAAACCAGTATAATTTCTAATTCTATCTATCTTATATCCACAGATATGTGTAACTCTCACCTAAGGAAGTTTTTTTTTTTTTTTTTTTTTTTTTTTTTTTGTTTTTTCTCTTTTCAGTAGGAGACCACTATAGAAAACCACAATTGGTCAAAACTCTGAATGCAATAGGAGGCCATTTGAGGGTTTTGAGCAGAAGAGGCATTGCTATAACCAATGAAAAATAAAACAAAGCAAAAGAAGTAAGATAGTTTCTACAACAGACTCATGAAATGGTGGAGACCTTTCAAAAGCTAGATCATGGGAAAACAAGACACAAACTATGTAGAAAGTGAGACATATATCATCAGAATCTGAAAGGCTTGCTTATGGATTGGATGTGGATGTGAAATGGAGGAGTTAAAGATGATTTAAGGATGACTTTGGGGTTCAGTTCCCTACTGAAACTCTTCTACTGGTTTCCCAAGTCATTCTAAGTTCTTTTGTGATAAACCAATGTCCAATTACCTGATTGTAATTATCTCTTTGGCCTCATTCCTGCTAAGCTCTTTTGTTCTAAATGTCCCAAGAGATCCAGGCACTCACATCTCAAAACGCTTGCCATTGTTTATTGTTGGCTCAGAAAGTCCTCCCTTTAGCTTAGGAAGCTCCTCATGCCTTCTCTATCTCCCTTTCCTGCTCTTGGGATTTCTTCCCTAGTATTTATTTCCATGAATTGAACATTTAAATACTTTGTCGCTCTGTCCTTCAACTATTTGGTCAATGAGTAGAAAAGCTTTTGTCCATATTTTATCTACCACCTGAACAAGTGCTGATTTGTAGTTCACATATAAACAAACCTGAATAAATGAACAATCCTGCATCTCCTCCATCCAACTCCTTCTACATGCTCCCTTTTAAATTCAAGGCTTCTTCTTAAAGATTATTGTTATTACATATATAAATGAATAAATATATTAACAGAGTCTGCCAAATCTAGTTAGTGTTGCTTGTGTGTATATTTTCGGGGCTGACTACTTGGTATTGGGATAGCTAAGGTCAGCCGAGGAAGACTAACTCTGTCAGTGGTTGTTAGTTACCCGTAGTTCTTTGTCAAGGGATAGGACCCCAAGTACCTTCTTTCATGTTAGCATATCTACTGGTGTTCTTGTTCACATCTTGTTTGAGCAATGATATTGTTGAGGTTTCATGAGTTCAAATTTTAAGATCTTACTTTTTCAATCTCTCTGAGAAGCAAATGAACACATTTATAATTCAAAATAGAACCACACAGGTGTTTTTCCTTTAAAACAAATATATTTGTCTGACAGAGATCAGTAGCCCCTTAAAATCCATCTACTCCATTAATGGTTTTAAGATCAGTTAGTAACATGGATATACAGACCTAGACAGATAGCTAGCTAGCTAGCTAGCTAGATAGATAGATAGATAGACAGACAGACAGACAGACAGACAGACAGACAGACAGATAGATAGAAGGTAGATAGGCAACTGTAGAGAGCTTGTAGAGTTTTCTCAGCTTTTGGTGTCACTACTACTTTTTCTTTAGACAGCAAAATAATTTTTGTCCCAAACAAATTTTCTATGATATTAATATATAAGCAGTGCTTACAATGTTGGCATATGTACTGTTGAAAATACAATATAAGTGTTTAATTCTTTTTATGACCATGTAACCTCTCCAAATTATAATTCATGGCTTTAATTTATCCTTTTGGAAAATTTTTCTCAAGGAAGGTTGGTAGTGAAAACTTGGGAGAACAGGATTTAACACAGAGAAATATGATCCCCAGAAAGCTATCATAAAAGGACCTCCAAACCTAGATATATCTTGTGAGGAAAATATTCCTTAGAAACACACATAAATACCTCATCAGTCATTAAGGTTGCAATCGATCTGCCAATCTCATGGTATTGTTGACCTTTTCCCAGAGGTCCCAGAAGAATGAAGAGAAATCTGTAATTAAGAAGAAACTCAAGCTAGAAATGTAACAATAAACTTAGTAGAGCAGAATCACCCATCCATATGGAATCACTTAAATGGAGTAGTTTGATATGAAATATTTGAGTAAGTTCTGACAGTTAATTATGATTTTGAAATGTTTTGTGGTTGAGACTTGGTATAATATCATCAAGCAATGAGAATACTGGGTTGTTTTTAACCCCAGGTTTTCTGCATTTAGCTGTCTACACAGCCCATGCATTTATGACTAGGAACTGTAAAAATTTTATGTCCTTAGAAGAGGATGATAAGAAAATTAAATCTTTCTGAATAGGAAGCAGAAAAGTTCACAAGTATACAACATGACCATTCAAGCGTAAGAGGGGCACTATAGTATTATACATTAAGAAAGAACACATTATTAACATCCAGTCACTGTACACACATTCTTATTGAGCACAAAAACTTCTGGGACTCAAAAATCAGTTGGGCAGAAGAAAAGAAAAAGGTGTGAAAATTAAGAGTACCCTGTATTTTGCAGTAGTATTCTGTGTGTTCATGTGTTAAATGGTTTACATTATTAAGGATGACTTTATCAGACGTAGTTCTTAGTTAATATAATTCTATGCTTTGCTTAACTGTAAGCTGTAGAGATTACATAATTTTAGATGAAGCATCTATGAGTTAATCTGAGGTTATATGTAATGTTAATTTTCTATCAATTATAATTGAATCCAAATCAAATTAGACTCCCTCTCTCCCCGTGTGTGCGTGCACAGTTAATATATAAAACCAAGAATAGTTGAATGTGGTGGCAGAAGCTGTATCAACTATAATACTTCTGAGAAAATTTCTAACCTGTGAGTAGCTTGCTATTTTAAAGTTGCTACTGCATGTGCTCTTTATAAAGCCCTAAAAGATTATTTTTCTGACTTATCTACTATGTGTTGCCTTTATAGTCATAGCATTCTCTTTTTTCTTCCTAAGAGAGGATAATTGGGGTTCATAAATAGCTTTCTTTATTATATTTGTCTAATATTCTTCCATTTTCACCTTTACTAAATAGCCCAGTCCTTTGAATCTGTCCCTATACAGTAGTTCTATTGTGCCCCCAATTTTTTTGTTAATTGTCTCCATATATACTTTGCTGAAAAAAGCCTGACACTTTTCAAAGTAAGGGTATATAAGACGATTATGGCTATACTATATTGGGAATTTTTATTTTCTTTGAAAGACATAAACTGTCAAGTCATAAACAGCTATTTATTCATAGGTTACAGAATACCTTCCTCAGTGGTGAAATTTGAATATCCAACTGAACAGAAATTTGAAACGGCTACAGTATCTCTACAATTAGAAAACATGACACATGAAGTCAGAATCCCAGATTTTCAGAAACTCTATTTTTTTTTTTTTTTTTTTTTTTTTTTTTTTTTTTTTTTTTTTTTTGAGACAGGGTTTTTCTGTGTTACCCTGGCTGTCCTGGAACTCTCTCTAGACCAGGCTGGCCTTGAACTCACAGAGATCCTCTTGCCTCTGCCTCTCAAGTACTAAGATTAAAGGTATGTCTGTCAGGCTTTCTTTTATTTGGCCAACAACCAGCTTCCACCAATGACATGAAGACTTGTTATTAATTTTGAATGCTTGGCCTAGAATAGGCTCGTTTTTGGCTAGCTCTTAACTTAAATGGACCTGTTTCTATCTTATGCCTGGGCATTTTACTTTTTCATTCCTTCTGTATATCTTATTTTCAGTACTTCTTGTGTTTGCTGGCTGGCAGTTGCATGGCTTCTAACTCCAGGCCCATTCCTCTTTCTCTCCTCTCCTCTCCTCCTCTCTTCTCACTCTTTTTCCAAGTCTTGATTCCTCTCCTATTTATTCTTTCTCCCTGGCAGCCCCACCTACCCCTCTCCTGCCTAGCTATTGGCTGTTCAGCATTTTATTAGACCAATCAGGTGCTTTAGGCACCAACACATCTTTACATGATTAAACAAATGCAGTATAAACAAATTTAGCACACCACAGCATAAACAAATGTAACACGTCTTTGCCTAGTTAAAGTAAAATTCTACAACAGGTGTGCACCACCAGTGTCTGGCATCCAGAAACTCATAATACTATGTAGTTTACATATAGAAAAATATGGCCTTATTCACACAATTATATACTATTTTAATAACATCACTTTACCTCCCCATTTTCTATTGAAAGCTAATATGTGTATCAGAGTCTTTCAAATGGGGTAAATGGAAGCTTACTTCTATAACCATAAAACTAAGTTTCACTCTAAGATCAAGTAGATAATGGTTCCAACTGAATATCTTACAGAGGCCTTACCAAAAGTGTCCTCATGGAATGAGGCTTCTCCTACTACTATTCCCCACTTCTTGAATATCTTGTCTGTAACCAAGTAGTGGAGTGATTTGTGCTATATTTTGAGTTATAGTCAGAGGTTCATACAAGGAAAAAATATTCTCAAAAACCACTTGCCACAGCAGCTAGACTGCTCAACTCTTTCAATTTCCCCAAGAAGACAGGCTCTGCCATGGCTAGACAATTCCAGGTGTGCATAGGAATCAGGTCAAAAGGACGCAGGGAAGGAAACAAGATTCCTAGACAAAGCAGTAATAACATGCTAAAGTCAATATTCTACTTTTTGTTTTCTCAAAGTTTTATCCATGATCATCATTATGCCTATAAAGCAGGAACCAATAATAATAGAATTCAGTTTTTATTACCTTTACCTATTAGGTTTAATGCATCATTAAATAGAAATGTGTCCAGGTAACCAAGTTAAACTTGGTCTTTTGACCAGAATCAACCACTTTCATTGATTGGATGACTACCAATGATTCTTCAAAGTCTGGGAATGAAAGACCAAATGTGCTAGGATTGAAGCATGAAACATTTGACCATAACCCAGCCATTGCCAGAGATGTTGAAGGCATAATCCAATGTAGCTGTCTTTCCATGATCTTGTCTGGTATGAACACATAGTTCAATATAATCTTTGAAATGATGTAAAACAGACCTGGAGTCTACAGATGAGGAGCATGCCAAAAATGAAATAGCAAGTTTCAGAAGGAGAAGGAGAGGGTAGAGTACTTCTTAAAGCACTCCCCCATGTTTATAAGCAAGAGACAGCAAGTCTATGGATAATACATTCATTTCTAGTCAAGGATCTATTGGAAAATGCAATAAACTATTACCATTTCCTAAAATAAATTAATCCACAATAAAAAAAAAAAATGCTTGGATACTTTTACCTGCTTGGGATTGGAACTTCAGCCAGGCCTTGGAGCAGGACAGCTGGAGACAACCTGACAAAGGCGACTACAGTTCTCTCCAGGAACTCCAACTCTCCCACCAAGATGTTTGAAGCCTCAGCACCTGGAGGGATCTTCTTCATAAAATGCAGATCAACCTGAGACCATCACAAGCAAATATTTTAATCATGTTTAGTTATAATGTCAACAAATTTAATATTTTATAACAGACAAATTTTATACATTTCAACTAATAGTCAACATATGGCTACTTTAAAATAAAATATAGTCTTATAGCATAATACAGCTTTACCATTTATTTTTATTCTAATTGTAATATGTTCTTCATATTGTATAGTTGGACTAAGAAATTTTTCAGTTTAAGTTATTCACCATATAACTAAACTAAAACAGAATAAAGAAAATTAAGTTAAAAGTATAGAATTTAGAATTACTGTAGACCTATAGTTGAATTTCTATTATGAAATGTCTGTGATTTAAGTGAATGAAAATAAAACAAAAAGGACCACTAAAAAGAAATGCTAAAAGAAAAGGGTGATGTCTGAAAATGCATGTAGAATAGTCTTTAAATAACCATCATTTTTATGCATGGGGCTTCAATGAAAACGAAGCAACGACTTTAAAGTAAAATTCGCAAGGCCTATTTCTTGTTTCTAACTCATTTGAGTTGCTTTTTATGGAATGATGGTTTTAGGGACTGAGTTTATCTGCCCTAGTAATTGGTTTTTGCAATTATGTTAATGAAAAGAGGACCAAGGATCAAAGTGTCAAAGTGGGAATAACCATGAGAGAAAGAGGGAGAAAGAGAGAGAGCTGCCATGTATCAATGAGGCAAAGAAAATGATTTTAGACAATTATTTTAAAGGCTTAAAAATTAGAAAATTCTATTCCAAGAAGTTTTAAAGTACTTTCTATGCACACAAGTAACATTATACAGACCAAGCAGATATATTTAAGAATATATATGTACATATACACACACATATGCATTTAATAACAATTAAAAGAAAAGGACATAAATTTGGAAGACAGCAAGAAAGGATTTATGGGAGAGTTTGGAGGGAGGAAAGAAAAGGGAGAAATGATATACAAATAAAAGAATTTTAAATATACCTTATAAATCAATAGCTACAGACTGATGATTATGTTTAAAATTTTCTGAAATTAAGGTATTAGTACAGCTATTTAAAGATTTTTAATAAAATATATTGCAAGCTATGACTGTTAAAATTGTAAAACACAGTACATACAGCTATATTTCATTAAAAGTATTAATATAATAGCAGTTTATATAGCTGTAATAGTAGAACATTTGCCTAGGATGTAGTCAGGCCTACATAGCCTCTCCAGCACTGAAAAATAATACCACAAGGAAAAATAACATAATGTAGCATTATATTTTGCTTTTTATTTATTTATTTATTTATTTATTTATTGGTTTTTTTCAAGACAGGGTTCTCTGTATTGCTTTGGAGCCTGGAACTAGCTCTTTAGATAGGCTGGCCTCAAACTCACAGAGATCCACCTGCCTCTGCCTCTCATGTGCTGGGACTAAAGGCATGTGCCACCAATGCCGGGCTGTGATACTTTATCTTAAAGAATCATTTATGATATAAACATATGCATAGAAAGAATATTTCAAAAATATTATAAGTCACAAGTGCCATCATTTTTCCTGTAAATATACCACCAATATAAATGTATAAGTTCTTCAGCTATGTATGGCATATATTACATGTCATATATTTTGATTTTGTAGATTCTGATCTTTTAATTCATGGATAAACAAGGCTCATTTGTGGCCTTATTGTGACACTTAAAATGCTTTAAATTAGTAATTTTTACACACTTGCCATAATGGAAAAGATTCCAGGAAAAGGATAAAGGGTTCCTGTATACTAGTTGTGTTGGGATATCTTGTTATTGTGCATGTGCATGGTAAAGGTGCATGTGTACACGTGTGTGAATGTACATACATATTTGCATGCATGTGTGTGAATGCTAAAAATTAATGTCAGATATATTCCTCCATCTTATACATGGGAGCAACTTCTCTTTAACTCAGAGCTCACTGATGCCTTTGATCTACCCAGTCAGCTTGTGTCAGGGATTCCCAATTCTGCTTCCTGAATGTTAGGTTTACAGGCAGTCAACCAGGACTGCTGGTATTTATTTCGGTGTTAGCAAACTGAATGCAACTTCTCACATTTGAACAGCACATGTGGCCACTCTTAGTGGAATATATAATAATTTTGTAAAAAAAAAATTGAAAATGTAAAAGAATAAATAACTAAATGTTATCAACCCACAGAAAAAAAACTATTAATACAATAGAAGAAAAATTGTAAAGAAAAATGACTCACATCCTTATAAAAATACCAAGTGAAAAGTGCAGACAGAGGGAGGGGAGAGGAGGGGGAACTGGGATCGACATGTAAAATAATAAATTAAATTAAAAAAAAATGCTTTGACTCCAAAATTTAAGTTCAAGGACAAGTTATTGGGAAAAAGGATTTCTATTTTTGTTTCCACAGAAAATGAAAAGATGTGGATTCCTTCCAGACTAATGTGGTTTGATCAAGCCAGACTACCTGAAACAGAGTACCAGGTGTTCCTACATTCAAAACAGCTGGACAAAGCAGCCTGACAGACTACAGCCAGGATTTCTGAATCCTCTTCGAATCCCCCATGACAGCGCCCCTTACCAGCAGGAAGTACTTTGGAAAGAACAATGTCCAAATTCCCAAATATTGTCTATAAATGTTTGTTTTCATTTAAATGGACTTTGTTATATAAAATAAATTTTAAAAAAAATTAAAAAAAAAGAAAAATGAAATTTTTGCAAAGATCAATAGAGGCTGGTGAGATGGTACAGGCACTTGCTACCAAATATAAGACCCAAGTTTAATCCCTTGAACTCAGGTGATAGAAGAAAATAACTGACTCCAGCATACTGTCCTCTAATATTCACACACTAGCACACACACACACACACACACACACACACACACACACACACACACACACATACACACACACACAGATGTAATACAAATTCTAATTTAAAAATAAAAACATAATTTGTAATTAATATAAAATTTACTGGTAATACTTGAAGTATAAATCCTACCTAGAAGATTTTGTTCAAATTAATTTCTTACTCAACAATATAAAATTATTTGCTATTAAAAGAGGAACATAGTATGTACTCGCTCATATATGGATTTTAGACCTAGAGCAAAGGATCACTAGCCTATAATTCACCCCCAGAGGAACTAGGATACAAGATTGATTCTAAGAGATTTATATAATAATCACAGAAGGGGGAAGGGACAAGTTCTCCAGAGCTCATAGGGAGTGGGGTGGCATGAGTGGAGAAGGAACTAGGAGAAAGAGAAGAGGAGGAGAGGAAAGCATGTGGGACTAGAAAGATTGAGTCAGGGGAGGAATAAAAGATGAGAGAGAGAGAGAGAGAGAGAGAGAGAGAGAGAGAGAGAGAGAGAGAGAAAGAGAGAGAGAGAGAGAGAGAGAGAGAGAGAAACATAAAAGAGGAGCCATTATAGAATTGAAGAGAAAACTGAACCTAAAGAAATGTCCAGAGACCTACAAGACTGACTCCAACTAACAATTTCAACAACAGTGGAATGGCTACCTGAACATGGAGGAGCTAATGAGCTCCCCAGACTGATAGCTGGGAATCCAGCACGGTACTGACTCAGACCCCCCTGAATATGGGTCTCAGCTAGAAGGACTGAGCAGTCTAAGGGACCTCAGACAGTGGAACCAGGATGTATTATTGGTGCACAAGAGGACCTTGTGGGCACATCCCCCATGGAGGGATACTCCCTTAACCTAGAGACAGGAGAGAAGTCCTAGTCCCTACTTCAAATGACTTGACAGATTTAGATGACCCCTCCTGGATGGCATCACCCTACATGTGGAGTAGGGGGGGATGGGAGAAGAGTGTGGTCGGGGTGCATGTGAGAGGGGGAGAAAGGGAAAAAGGGATGGAGGGAGGGAAAGGGAACTGGGATCAATATGTAAAATAAAAATAAGTAAATAAATAAGTCTTTGCTATTAAAGTCTAGACCTCAGAGAAGGGGCAGATACAGAATTAACTACAAAATTGAAATTCAGTTGAGTCAAGGATTGCATAGTGTATTAAAGAAGTTTAATTTACAAAGATATGAGCATTATAAATGATTTTAAATAACACTGAACCAGATATATAATTTATATCTATTACCTAGAAAAAGCTATGCAGAATCGTATTTCAAGATCAGCATACTTATCTTTTTATTTTAAATATAATAAATTATACTCATATGTGTCTGGGGTCAATCATTGTATTTCAATTATTATATTATGTTATTCTTGTACTATATAGATATTTAGTGAAGCTGGTATATTTCATAATATATTAATCATATTTATATTTTCAGATTAAATTTTACCTAGAGTAGTCCTATATTTTTATACTTACATTCACAATTCAAAAAGAATCTTTTAGAAATATCTTTACCTCTTATTAAAACAAAAGGTTACATTTAACAACCACAAATTCAAACTTGTATAAATTTATAGCTACCTAAAGAGTACTTGATGGTCTAGGTTATAATGCCTTTCTAAGACAATCCTCTAATGGATCCAAACACTTGAAATGGACATAGAAAAATCTTGGAAGTATCTATTGCTTTGAAGAGAACTTTGAGAACAGAGCTGCATTTTGAGAGTTGTGGATTTATACTATATTTCTACACTTTGTGGACCCCACAGTGTGCCAAAAAGAGAAAGAGAAAGATGCCTGATTCTAGCTATTTGGGACTTACACTGTTGATGAAAATAGTTCATCTGTAGGCAACAAGATAAGAGAAAAGACCATGATGGAGCTGCAGATGCTTGCCCAAGGCATCTTAGAGATCAAAAAAAAAAAAAAAAAAAAAAAAAAAAAGGAGATGGAAATTTAAGGAGAAAGTTGGAGTCTTAAGCCTATTAGCAAAAGCACAGCAGTTTAATAGAGAGGCTCTTTCAAGGCAAATGGTGCCTGACACTTTTGGGGAGCAGGTGACATTTTTAAGTTCTCTAGGGCTCAGTATTTTTCCCTAAATGATTGACTAAAATTCCTTGCTCCCAATATGCTTCATGCACAGCAGAAAAGATGCAAAAAAGAGAGGTTCCTTCTAAGTGGGTAATTATGGAACACTTCTTTGGGGCCATTTGAAATAAAAGAAACACTGTTGACATAAAACAGACATTTCTACTGTTTTTTTTAAAAGCAAAACAAAGAGGTTTATAGTATTTTGAAACACCTACTTTTTGAAGGCTTAATGGAAAGAGCCATAATTATGTTAATTCATTACTTAATTAAATAAGCCTGATGGGCCTAACTACTGGTGAGGCTAAAGATGTGTAGGCTGAAGGTTGATAGAACATGGATCAAGTCACAAAAAATGCAAAAGGGCTTTTTTTATATCTCAATCTTTGAGTGAGATTTATGATCTATATACCATCATTTATTTATTGAAATGGACACAGCAATGTGGGGATTAGCTGAATGTTAATAAATTGACTACCAAACTGAAATAATTTGGTTAAAAAACACCTTAACTTGCATACCTTTAAAATTGAATCCATAGTGATGGATCACAACAGTGCTCTCCAAACTCTAATTCTCTGCTCTACCAGGTTATAAAACTAGGAATGTTTCTTGCTTTGTTTCATTACTCTAAAACTAAGACTTAAAACTATTTTGTATCGTATAGGATTTCTTCAAAAAAAAAAAAAATCTGTCTCAAACATTGTTAAAGGTACCAAAGATCCAGTGGAAACCAGCATATGAAATCTGGTCTGGAATTTATTTTGACACTACCATTCCCACTCTTAATACAATAGTCACTTTTCCTTGAGTAGCTACTTTATGCTCAGTCTGACAAACTGTAATGCCATTAAATCTCCACAACAAAACAATAAACATGCATTGTACTTATTTTGGGCAATGATAAGTCTGCAGTGTAGAGAGCTTCTCCACAAGCAGTAATAGATAGATGCTAGACACATTGCTTTTAAAAGGCATGTTCTTTTCCATGAACAATGCTATGGACAAAAACAGAGGGATGCAGATGGTTAGCCTAAATGTCTCTATTAAATGGGCTAGGAAATGAAAATGCAATGATGAAGGAAAGGATTAAAAGAGAGAAAATCTACTTTCCACATTTCTGTAGCTCTAATTGTTAGGGGCTCCTAGGGATGAGACTACTGTCCTGTCTTTCACTGGTGATCTTCATTTCTCTTTAATGGTGATGAATTATTTTCCAAGGTCATGAACATAGGTCACCATAAACTCCAAAGTAATGTGGGAATGTAAAATCAATGTGTAAGGTATTTTTTAATTTTGAAGTAATGTGTTTAAAGGATAATCTACATAGTTTAAAAATCAGATTTTGAAAAATGTCAAATATTCCATTGTTATAAGATAGTCAATTTTTTATATCATTACTTTTAAGATTGAATTTATTTTGAATTAAGAACAGCAGAAATTAAACTTATGGCAGTTTGTGACAGTTTTATTATAACTTACAGATGAATGATGATGTAATGCTTTAAAAATATAATTCTTAAGAGTGGCAGATGGAATACACTTAAACTGGTTTAATATTTGAAGTACATGCCTCCATACAGTGAAATGAGCTTTGAACTGCTGTAGAAATAGAGCCCAAATAAGCCCTCACCTCTCTCTCTTGCTGGTGTGGAGGTCCTTTGTCATGCCTTTGTTTCATCCCACATGGACTAGTATGCCCCTTTTGTTGGCCTCCCAGTCCCTGCACGCACAATTAACAGACTTAAGCTGGTACATCATGCTTCCACAATACTCCATCAGGCACCAGAGGGAAAGCATGCACAGAACTAACTTAGCTCATGTAGATAATGTCCCAGGAATGCTAAAACAAGTCCAAGAAGCTGACTGCCATTAAGCTTTTCAGATCTTTGATTTATAGTACTTCCTCAGACTTAAGTTCATTCCCACTTCCTCCTCCTACTGCTAATGCTAAAGGCTTTATTGAGTACTAACTACATTCCTATCAGCCACACAGATAGAAATTGTTCAACATCCTTATTTTTGACCAATATTGAAACGTCTGTGTTCTACTCAACTGTTACTTTGCTACAGTTACTGTAGCTCATACACAAAGTCAGGAATTCATTAAACAAAAATCCCTTCATTTCCACTAACTCATTATTTTCTTAGCATAAATCCAAATAAATTATTTTATTTCGATAATATCCAACAAGAAGTAGCTCTAAACATAACCAGCCCTTAAGCATGTTTTATTCAAATTTCTATTGTTTTACCTTCTAGGGTATCCTTACACTGACTTCTAAAATATAGTTAGGTAAAGATTTGTGTCAGATGACTTGTTTTTCTACATTACAGGAAGATTATTTTGAAGGGAAAATCCAGCAAATATTTTAAAACAACAGATTAAGCTCTCTATGAAGTTCAGGTGTCCTTTTTACTGCTAGATATACATTACAAGTGGCTGAATCCAAAAAATGGTTCATAAAACTAACACACTTGTTTTCCCAACTAAGCAAAGGCCTGAACTGAACTCTCACATTGTCTATAACAATTTCAAGCTTTGGTAAAGCAACCAAATAAAAGCATGTGAATACATGTGTCAACGGGTAACAACACACTTCTACTAGTGATTTAACAGCTTACTTAGATGGAAGAAAGAAAAACTTACCTTGCTAAAGTCAACAGTGCTGTTTTCCCTGCTAACATCATTTTTATTCTCAGCACAGGTTGGAGCAGACTGAGGAGAAACAACCTGACCTGCTGAAAGAGATTGTTATTACAGAATACAAACAATTACTTACACAGTTCTAGGCATACTGGGTGAAAGATGAACTTCAAATTAATTCAACTAACTAGGATTTTTAATAAGCTTATGATGTCAGCATGAACGTTAAATTAAATAGAACTATATCAATATAGATATTATCAGTTACAGATAGAAATGGGAGAACATTTAAGCCACTTAACAATTTTGAACTGTAAATGATTATTCTCTTCGAAGAAATGCTGCCTTCAAAACAATTAAATTTAATAATAATAATTTAAAGTTCCTTGACTTCTAAGCATCAATCAAAACTAATTACATATATTTAAAAAGGTAAGTTTCAAGCTCTGACTGAAGAACTTTTGACAATATAAAAAAGTTTGAATATCAGAAAATTAAGCATATCTTTAGGGTCTATTACAGTTAAAAAGTGCAAAGCACTACTTTCTTTAGCAACAAAATTTGGAAATGGAGCTTATCAGAAACATGTGCTCTTGTGCCTTTAACTATTCAGTTACATAAACTCTAATCTTCATCTGCTAGCCAAGAAAAGACCACTAAAAGAAGTGTTGTAACGATTTTCCACCAACATAATTGTAAATATAATTATGCTGTAATTCTCCCTCCTTGTATGAAAGGTAAGGTTAGTTATGAGGATAACAGAGCTGATAATGTGACAATGACTAGAAAACATTAATATCCATCATTCACTATGTAACAGTCTTTGCAAACACAAATTATTTGAAGTCTGCCCTAAGTTAGCAATTAAATGATAATTAACCCATTTTGCTTATTTTCCCTACCTATCTTCGGGCCATCTTCCATTGTTACTTTCACTGGGCAACAAGTAGTGACAATTCAACACTGAAGCCTTGACTATATTTATATTCTTTGCAGTGGCTTCAAAATCCCTGTTTTGCTTTCATTGATTCCAAACACAAGAAATGCTCTTTGTACCTAACTTTTCTCTCACTATTCTGAAATCTCAATTTCATTCAAAATACACCTTTATTCTCATCCTTTCTCGTTGCTGCGAACTTTGAACTTCTTTTAATTCCCTAAACAGATACATAAAAAAACTTCAATTTTTCCCTGATCATTGAATATTATTAAAACCCAAATTATTTATTTAAATACTAGTACAATTTTACTGCTTAGACTAGTAAGCCTGTCAGTCAGATATCATTGTTCATAGATATTAATACCTGGATTAAAATAACTTATTCAGAAAGTAATACATTTAATACTCTTCTAATTTAAATATGTTTTTCTGCTTGCATCAAACAGAAAAATAATATATATTGTGAAGGTAAAGATAAAATGGCAATTTAAAGAAAATTCCCCTCAACCCACAGACACAGATTCTGACTTCTGAATACATAACCCAAGGCAATGCACATCTTTCAGAAGAAGTCAGATGAACATTTCATTCTCCCATCTCTACCTGCAATGTATAGCTACAACCGAATTGTTCAGCAGCAGCCATTCAATTTACCAATCTCAAAATAATAACTGTTATTTTAAAAAGCCTTTTACATAATGCATTTGTGCTACTAACAGATGTCTTCAGTCACCAGTTTCACATTTCTCCATATTTTCATGATTTAGACTATTAGATATACTAATTTTATTAAATTAGATATACTAATTTTATTAAATGTTCATAAATTGAGTGGTAAGACTCATGATAGAAAAATTAAATAAAACATATATGTTTCTTATAATAATTTATGTCATATAGTAATAAACTACATGAAATACCAATTGCTTTAAGCTGTAAGAAAACACATACCTAAAAGAGTCAACCCAATACAAAATCAACTTTGATGAGATTGAATCAGATAGCAAATACTCCAGAAATTATAATTTGAAAAAAAAATCTACTTTTCGTTTTTATTCATATATTTCAGGAGCAACATTTCATAAACCATATTCAGGTTATGAACACTGGCACATTTCATTTTGTAAATATTTGTGATATCGAATGTGCTGCTACTAAATGATAATTGTGATAAATATATCTGGAGATTTAGAGTACTATGCTAGTCTTGGTTTAAGATTAAGAAGTATAAAATATTACCTTACAAAGCTGGTAATTAGGAAGCGAATTAGGAAATACTGTCTTTGAATACTTTAAGTAATATTAATAGTGACCTAGTTCTGGATATCAAGCAGGAAGCATGCTAGATAACAGTACCAGAGTACAGACAATGTTCAGAGAACGTGAACTACATACAGTACAGAGAATGTATGCTGTAGTACAGCCATCCTCTGATATAGGTACAGAAGCCACAAGTATTTGTATCTCCTATACTTTAGAATAATACATAAATATATTTATCACACATGAAGTCCTTCAATGTTTAAATAGCATTGAAAATAGTGTTACTTCTAAAACTATTTATTAAATAAAGTAAAATAATATAAATAAAGCAGTTTTGACAACTTTGTAGGATCCTGAAAATCTGTAGGTATCATTTAAGATCTAAACTAAAAAGTTTGGGTTATGTTATTTAGGAAAATTACAAGACTTTAAATAAAGCTTACACTTTTTGTTATATACACAATGCTAAAATGCATTGTAATACTCCATAGAACTACTAGATTCTTCAGACGGTAGAATAGCTTTCATAAATTTGTTATACCTTATAATTTTTTGCTTAAATCTTATTTAGTTAAACTGTTACCCACTTCTCAGATTATGGGCTTATATTCCAAAATGCATTTCATGAACTAAAAAAACTATCACATAAAATAAATAAACAAATTTAGGGAAGGACATCTCTAATATGTTGACTTCTATGATGAAAATGGTCATTCATAAAATGACAAATTTCAGTCATAGTGACTATTTCCTACTGGAATAAAAAAGAGTTTGCAAGAGTATTTTCCTCTCCAGGGGAAACAAGTCAAAAGTTAGAAATAAACACTCATGTATTGGAAACTTTACAAATACTGCTGGCTTGTGATACCTATCTAGTTACTTTGGCACTATGCTTGCAAATAGATATCTTTACCTATTTCCTTCTAATTCCTTCACCTTCCACTGATCACTGCCCAGATTAAAACTTCCTTTAATCAAATTGCATTATTAAGTTAGGTTGTCTTTACTATTATAATATGTAAATCTTAAGGTTTAAAATACCATGAAGAAACATTTATGAATTCACTATTCTTATTATATTTCCTGAAAATTATTTAAAACTTGATAAAGAGATGATATCATTAAAATTAACTGATGCCTATGACTAAATGTAAATATTTGAGAAATCTAACATTATCCTTTGTATCCAACATTCATGTTTATTTCATCTCCATTATATATTTATCAGTTAGAAATATGGTCTAGATTTTTATAAAAATTTAGTACGTTTCATTATATGAGATAAAGTGTATAGTGTATAGCATTTATATTAGCAGTTGTTTGATTTTTTAATTATATTTGAGTTTTTACAAACATTTCTCTCCTATATGTAAACTGTGTGCATGAATTACATAAAACAGAAGTTTTAAAATTTTTATCTGGTCTAATTCAAATCACTAGATAATTTATTACCCACATGTATCATTATTTGCTACTGGTTAATCCAGTATAAATCATATGTAGTAGAAGGAAACTGGGATGAAGACATGGAGGTACAGTACTATTAACCTAGAGTCCAAGCTGGTTTACACTACCTCAGAACCTTCAACGCATTTAGAGTACCCAAGGGTTAGGAGATGAGGGAGGTACAAAGATGAGATGAGCCTGTTAGAGACAGACACAAGACAGAGCAAAATGAAGAAATATAGAGATGAATGACAAAGTTACATACATGTGCAACAATACATTTATTTATGGAAATAGAAAACATGAAGAAAGAGAGATAAATATTTAGAAAATTATGATTAGGTGAGCTATATTTCAAAAACAGAAAGGATATGCATGCAATTAAAATTGTTGAAAACTGTTATGTCTGAAAATAATTAGTTTTAAATAGGAAATTAAAGCCTTAAATTTGTTATCTTAGAAATATATTTGCCCTTAAAATGTGGAACCAATTTTCCACAGACCAATGAAATACAGCCTTTAAAAAGACACAGCAATTGTGTCAATAATTAACATAATTTTAATTTTCTTTCAACACTTTTCATTTACATTTTCCATATATGGGAATCTCTTAATGTGCTTTCTCTCTAGCAATACTACGAAGTAATATTGTAGCTTTCTCCTTCAATGTAGATCACTATGAAGGATAAATATTACATGCTATCTTATTTATGATAATACAATATTTTAAAAAGAATGAATTTCTAAACACATAAAGACATCATACATCTGGTAATAAAAGTACAACATTATAACAATAAAAGTGATTTTATGGTAGTAAAACAAGTTTATAAACCACAAAGAAATATCAACAATACATAGTGCTTACTGATTTAAGGGCTCAATCCACCCAGATAAAAATACTCAATACATTATCTACATGTTCTCCGCTTCAAACAGTAAATTAGAGGAAATTAACAGAAGCCCTGTAACCCTTTCAGAGTCTACATACAAACTGTAACTGGAATGTATTCTAACTAGGAGGGAAAAGAGGCGTGGAAGCAAAAGAAGAGCTAGAAATTAATGGAATGGATGAGAGGAATGAAGACATCCTATACTACAGAAGCCATGAGTCTCAAGAAACTCATAATCTTGAAATTAACATAATTTACAATAGAATTTCAATGCAAATGTCTTCATGTGTAAGTGAATACATGACCTACATGATGAATACAAGCATTAATTTTGTTTTGATTAATTGATCACCTCACAAAAGTCACATTTGTGTTTGGAAAAATATTTCTAGATTCAAGAAATGACTCAAATAGTATTTATAGTTCTCATTTCAGTACATTTTACAGGGTTGGAATGTCAAAGTAGATACATTTTCTATTATTTTTGCCATTGTTTTGCCAAATGTAACTGTCACTTTTTATTGAAACATCAGAATCAGTTATTTTAATTCTCACAGTTTTGATGCTTAATGAAAAGTGAAAGTTAAACACAGCATGGTGGCATTAAAAATGCATGGTGAATCCATAGCATCTTGCATCTTAACCCCAAGGAGAATGTGCAGATTACCAAAGACATTCACATATATATGTAATATGTACATGGAGCAATGTATTTGTAGGTGAGATTGACAAATTATCAAAAAGTATTAAGAAAAAATTACAAACAAAGCATGCATTGGAGAAAAGAAGAGAAACAAAACATGCTATTTTGTTGATGTAATATGTGAAACATAGAAGACCTACATTTGAAATGAAGTGTCTGAATATTTAACCCTTGAATGAACAAATAAGTTAGCATACCCACAGAGCAATTCAATCAAAGAAACAAAAGGCCATTCTAATTGTGTTTAGACTTCTTTAAGTAAATAACACTTCATTTTTTAGGGATTTTCAAAATTTTGACCCTAAAACAGAAAGACATTAAGCAAAGATAGAGAACTTATTTCTGTATCGTCTTCCTTTAATAAAAGCATGTTCTATTATCAAGTGTTTTAGAAAATCCTCTATTGATTTTAATTTTATCATTTTAAAAGAAGAAAAGTCAACCTTTCTGAGTAAAATATTTTGCTAGAGAGTTTTTTTTTTTAAATAAGAGAAATACTACATTTACTCTTTTGCATGTCAAAAGTCTATTGAATCTCTTTTTACAATCACACCATAAAAATTAAGTTCCTAATCTATGTTTTTGAAACAGAATATCAATTTTATATTTATGCTTCTGAATTCCAATTTCTTTGTTTATCTCAAGTTTGTCAGTTTATAGGGGTCATAAGTAGATGGAGAACCTCAGTAGCAAAGGTCTTTCACACGTTCTTTCACTTGTGGGTAGGAGACTTGTTTCTAAATTGGTGAAGTCTACACATATTTTCAGTCTTCTCAGCACACGTAATTATGTAAAGTGTGTGAGGAGGTGTTAGAAGCCCAGGCTTAGAAACCACTGCTGACAGGATGCTGCACAACAATACTTAATTGGATACTTGAATCTTATTATAAGTGCTTCCAAGTTTCTATTACCCTAACACATGCCCTGTAAAGATTTGTATGTGTTCATATAAAGGTTGACTGTACAGATGGCAACAGAGTTACTCAGGTCCTTGTTTTTAGAAAAATTAAGCCATTTCACAAAGGAAACATGAGTACTTTCCGTAAACCATGTGTCTACATGCATCTACGTGAATCTACACATAGTCATGGGATTCATAGCTGCAATTCTATCATCTCCCCTTATTAACAAGCATTAAAACACTAACAGTAATATAGGTCTGCATATGGCAATCACTGGTCAGTTCAATAAATCTCACACCTTTCCCCTATAGTGTAATGAAAATTTGAAATATAAATATTATTCTCAGTAAAAACTGAAGTGAAAATCATCGAAATTGCAGCATGTAGAATCGTTACATGTTTGAATAAACACATTTTTTGTCTATATGCTATTACCCTGTTTTCCAATAAAAGGAATGAAATCAAGACAGAGTTTATTTGTCCAAAAGTTCCCCAAGTTCTATGAACATTAAAACATGGTGTATTTTAATAAGGGTTTTAGAATCTACTAACATTGGCCAACCAGATTAGAGCTATAAAAGTAACAGTAACTGCAATAGCATGGTTTCCCCCTTCTCTTCTTCATACTCCTCCTCTGGGCAGCTGCCAGAATTTTCAGCCTGTCTGCACAGGGGTTTTTCTCTTAAACACTAATAAAACTGTCCTCGTGCTTTCTTAAAAAAAACAAGCACTACATTTACATATCAGATTATAAAAATCTTCAATTTCACATTAATATGTATTATATGTTTTAAATTAAATTATAATTTAGAATATGAATTAATTTAAATATAGTATTTGTCTCAATGTGAGTTCTACATCCTCAAAATAGTCAGTAGAATCTTCTAATATAATTTGATATATGTCATAGTGTGCTTGTAACACTTTTAATGAACTTCACATACATGCATAGAAGCAATATGCATGCTTCTATATAATATTGATGCTTTATATTCAGTCAAGAACAGCTTCTATCTTTCATTTCTGTCTTTAATTTATTAAAAATAAAAAAAAAGAAATCCCAATGCCTTTGTTGGCTTTATGGTGTGTAATAAGTAGAAGACAATATATTCTCATAAAAACATGGAATCAGTATAGAATCATGAAGCAACAACAGACAAAAACAGAGGATACCAAATAGAAATTGAGTAGTGACAAGAATAAAAAAAAAATCCTTCTAGTTTAAGAAAAGGGAGGACTCTGTACACATGGATTTTCAATGAAATATAGACTTCTCTCATAGCATATAAATCTGCAATAATTACTATAAAATCAGCTATTCAATTAGAAATGTGTAATTCATTATTATTTAATGGTGTCTTGAGACTTAATACACTTAATGACCTCAACATACTCTAAAACAAAACTGACCTATCATTGAACTATTTGTTTTACTTGTGTACACTTGATTCAGTAGTATGAAAAACTCCTGTATAATACAAAGTCTAAAGAAAACTTATCTTCATATATTTGTAAAGTATTTCTGAAACTTTTGGAAATGGAAAAAATTATACAAATATTCTGTGCTGTCAATCCATGTAGTAGTGTCAATTTGTCTAAGTCAGTTTTTCTAATAAGTAATTTGAAAATACTTTCATTTTGATTTGGTTTTCAAATCAGTATCTCATGTGCTAGGTTGATCACGAACATTCTATGTACTTGAGTCTGACCCTGAACTTCAGATTCTCAAGCCTCTACCTAAATTCAGGGTAGGTATGTTGGTACATGTCCAGTTTACTCAATGCTACAGGCAAAAGCTGGAGTACTTGGAACACGTGGTAAGCATGCTTCTGACTGAGCTACATCCCAGTCAATCATTTTTGCCTTTTAGAACTGAAAAACATTTATAGCTGATAGAAGAGTAACAAATTCATGTTATCTTCATGGTACCTTCATTTTTCCTTTATCAAACTATGATAAGAAATTTGAAGCAATTTCTTAATGTAAATGATGATGGATTCAAATAGAAAACAAAAAAAAAAATGCAGGGTTATTAGAAAATAATGATGCTCCAGTATGATGTTGTGTGAAGATGGTGTGGAGGCTCCTTGCATATTAAGATGCTGCAGTGAAAATGGAAATGTGCTCAAGAGCAGAAAACAGGCTTCAGACAGGTGCGGCCATATAAGGCACTGAAGAATCTTTTTATTAGCAGTGATGAAATCTGTCGACTATAGCCCAGATAGGAAAAGCTGCTTTTCTACAAAAAAATAAATAATGATCATCACTGATTTAATCAGAAGACCACTACAATGCACACCACTGCATTGCTCTTGTCAGCTATGAGAAGAGGCTTAGACTTCGGTCACGATGCCAGATGCATTCCATTTACATTTGCTGTTTAGATCTGTAAGTTGGTATTAGATATGTATTATTATACTCATTCAGGCACCTTTCTAGAAACAAGTTCTTTGTTAAAATGTCCACATTTTGATGGTGAAAATGAGATCAATACATACTACATATACACACACACAAACAAATTTTACTAAAAATACAAATTTCAATAAAAATGTTTTCAAATAAAAGGTTTTATGCCTTTAGAGACAATTTAATTCCTCATGTTCCCACAGAAGATACAAAAGTGCGCTTACCATTTTTATCCATGGAATTTGGCTCTGATTGTTTCTTGCCAATATCGGCAAAGGATCGGACAATAGGGATCCTGTTGGTGAGCTTCTTCTGGTTCTGGTGATGATGCTGTTTCATCAGAGCTTCGTGGACTCTGTGGCGTACATCTTCTTTCAGTTGGCCTGAGCTGACTTGCTGGTCAAGGACCATATCTGAAGATTGGGAGAAGATAAAGAATACAGCTTTTCCGTTTAAAATGGACACCTTGAATGCTATTCATACTAAAATAGGAAGGAATTACTTTGATAACTTCAATGTATTAAGTTTTGAATAAAAGTTCATCTTTTATAGGATTGCTACATGTGAATTCTCATTATAAATCACTCATTTAAAAACACTTATTTTTTCAAATATGCTAAATTGTATTAAAGAAAGTTATTTTATACATTATTCATACTTTAGGTAGGAATATAATGAGGGTAATCTCAAACTAATTGATGTCTCTCTCTCTCTTACACACACACACACACACACACACACACAGAGAATATAGGTCTCCTTATGAAATTTGTGAAGGCTCCAATACACTCAAACTTAAAGCAGTATGAACTGTAGTTTCAAAGTAGGGTTTACCACTTTCAATAACAGAAAATGCAAATCACACAACCTCTTTGCAACTCAGGCCAGCTTCAAACTTATATTCCACATTTCTCAGTCACCTAAGGACTCACATTACAGATGTGAAGTAATCACACACCTGACTTTACACATATATGTGGCTTTCTAGTGGAGAATTAACTTTCTTGATTCCTCTAAGTGAGGTTAGGAAATACAAGAGAGCTCTCCAGCATCTAGTCCAGCATTTAGAGTGTGATCAAGCCTTTTGTTTGTTACAAAACCAGCAGCACACTTAGAACATGTTAGTTAACAAGACTATAACTATAAAACACAGACATTCAGGAGACTGACCTGACTACACTGATACTTTCTATGCATTATACCAAGAATGCCAATAAAGTAAACAAACACTTACTTTATGGGCATTTGAAGTTCCTTAGTAGCATAGTTAACACCTCACTGAGCCTCAGTAAAATTAGTCTGCTTTCAGAAAATCAAATGTTAACCCTGTTTTTGGGAGTACAGCTTATGTAAAGCAGATGCCAGAGAACTATCTCCTGCTGCCATATTCAGTACATTGCAGGTTTTAATATTAGCAAACTTTCCCCTGATAAAACTGAGCTTTCTTTTTGTACAAAATGAAAACGGACATGGAACACTGTAAGGGGCTTGGAACAACTCTCTAGCTGTGTGACGTCATAAATCTGACTTGAAAGGTAGGAGTAACAGTCGGTATATGTACCATGTTTTGCAGCCTTGAAAATAATCTGACGTCCTTCAAGCACTAATTAGCAAATTGAGGACAATCAATAAGTAGATGTTTTTCTTTGAAATTTCTATCCATCTAATTAGCAAATTGAGGGCAATCAATAAGTAGATGATTTTCTTTGCAATTTCTATTAATCGGGGCATAGGTCTCTGAATTTGTGAAGGCTTCAGTATACTCATAGTCTATAACAGTATTAACTAGATATAACATTGGGTTTGTCAGTAACAAAAAGTGCAAAGCACCTTGTTTAGCTGATTCATCTGACTGGCTTGCAGAAGAGGAAAATAAAATGAGCATGACTTTAGTTCCATTTTTCTGTGATGCTGCATCCTTCCTGTTCTCATAGGTTATGATAACGTTGACGGATTTCATGTCAGGCGAAGGTGATGGAGGCGGGGGACAAACATGCCAGGCAGACAGAGGTTGGTGAGGAGTTTTCTTAGAAAGGGAGTAGGAGAAGAAAAGAGAAAAGAGGTAAAGAGACACAGAGACAGAGAGAGGACAGGAGAGAAGAGGAAGACTGGAAAAGTCCTGTCTGCCCCAGGGCAACAGCAGGGAAAGAAACTGGAAAAGAGCCTAAGTGGGCCAGGTCTGTCTTTGAAAGGAGTCCTTTACACCTGGGCTGACCAGGTACCGCCTGAGTGCAGTCTGCCAGGTGACAGGGACAGGCCAGCATGATGCCTGAGTTCTTACAGTAGGTACTTCCTTTATGGGCATAAGTTGGCTGCCAGCAGCAACAAAGAAATATCCTTGTTCATATCCAGTAAGAAACAGATTAACTTTTAACACTTTCTTTTATAAAAGGTTAACTTTCATCTGGCTTGGACATTATACATATGACTGACAAGAAGCAATCACTGTCAGTGGAGATGAAATACATAGATATTTTGTACAGAACAAGAAATGAGTTATTTAGCCAAGCTTTTTCTTCCACGAGCCAGACGATAAGCAGTTTCTTTCAGAGCTACCCAACTCTGCCTTTCCACACATTAAAACTTTCTAAAGATTAATGAGATTTCAGTTACATACACAAAAGATTTTTCTTTTCATTTTCAGCCATGTGAAATGTCCCAAATCACTGATCAAAAGGCCAACAATACTTGGGTCACATTCAAAGCAAGGAGTATAGTTTTCTCTGTCACTTTCTGTTCACAATGGAAGGAAGTTAAAGATGAATATTTGGGAGTTGGCAATAATGTGTGTGTGGAGTATTTGGAAGTCATCCACTGTGATTAAAAGTTCCATTCAATTCTAAAAAGTGCATGGCATTAAAAGATGAAATGTAAATTCATATTTCAGCTCTTTGGAGATCAGTAATTATAACATCTCCAAATTAAAACAAAATAAAAGAACTAAAGAACTGTCAACATATGACATTACTTTGAAAACTTGCTGTGACAGAAAAATGTGTATAAAATATGTATTTTATATATAATAGTGGAAGCTACAAGGAAGTTACTTAAACACTAATATAACACAATTTTACAGCCGATCCAGAAATAAGATATTATTGTGTTATATGCTAAACAGAACCTAAATTGATCATATAAAAACCATACGTGTCATAAAATATTACTATAATTCTACTGAACCACAGTCCCTTGAGCACTATAAAATTCCCTAATTTCTACATTTGCAATTACAGAGTTATAAGATTTATTTCAAACACATACATAGGAGATACACATCTATTCATTAGCGCAAGCATATACAGAATGTATTAGTAAAGTGGAAAGGTTAACCTTCTTGCTTAAGAATTAAGCGTGCTGGAGTGAGACTTAAGCACCAAAGGCTTGTACAGGATTCAGTCATCACTTACATAGTTCTCTTCACCACAATGATAATTATCAGCATTAACTGGAAATGTTAGGGACAGATAATGAACCATAATGGATTTGGGCCCACAGGCAAGTTCTCACAACTCAGCAGGCAACAATGCCTGATATAGTGAACGTGGCAACGCCCAATGCCAGGATCTTGTTAAGAAAAGAAAGAAGGGAAAAGAAATAGAACATTTACAAAGGTTTTGTGAAATTCAGGAATTGTGAAAAAAAAACACATGAAAACTTGAAGAATCATTCTTCATCATAATTAGGCAATGGCGTTGGCATAATCAACTCTCCACAATTACCAAAAAGGCATGTTTGTGGCTTTTTTTGCAAAACTTTTATAAGTCTATCTTCTTCAAATTTATCATATAAATACTCTGAAAACTCACTACATTAACTTTCAAAGACCAAGAGGCAGGAGTGGGGAAATGAAGCAGTAATTCTAACACTAACAGCATTGTGGATACTTCCTAGACTAAGGATTGTTGTAATATGAACCTGGTTTTGTGGCTTTGCTTTGTTTTTGACAGGGTCACAGTATATATCCCTGGCCTCAAACTCATGGGGTTCTTTTACCTCCTTAAGGCTGGGGTTAAAGGTATATGTCATCAGACTTGGCATAAACCTGATTTTTAATAATAAATTCCCATGCCAATCTTTAGTTTTTAGTCAGTGGAGCAAGGTATTAATTCATCCTCCAATAAGATAGTTTAAGTAACAAAAGTTGTTTTAATGAGTTATGAGTTACGATTGATAATTCGTCCATGATACTAACTTTAGCTTGGTTTTAATTTCCTTCTAACTCTCATTGACAGAATCAGGGTAAAGTATTCACACTTCAAAGAGAATATTTCCATTTTTAATCTTTATAATTCTGAGTTTTAAAGAGATTAGCACAGACCATAAATTGTCTACAATGTATATGAATATAAGTAGGAAGCATTTTGACATAATTAATCTCCACATCAGAATAAATCATGGTAAGAAATTATATCTGGAGATTTTTGGATTTGAAAAGGTTAAGTAATATTTTGAGGGATGAAGTTTGGATTTATTGAGTTCCATGAAACACAGGGAAATAGATATGTTTTAAATTAACTTCGTCCAAAAGAAAATCCTACTTTAATTATACCAGAAATTCTTAACAGACCTGCCAGATACAAATGGGATTTTCTGCTGGTAAATCTAACAAAATCTCTTTAAGGAATTATTGGAGTCTGTTAAAAACATATCAAAATCTGATGAAAAAAATGAAAACACTGATGTAAAATGTCTCACCACTTGAAAACAATATCTAAGTCAGGTTCCCCTATAAAGAAGTGTTTAGAAAGCACTAACTCTACAGACTTTATATATAACAGAAGTATAGGATCAGGAGTCCTTAAAGAAAAATAATCTAGCTTTTAGAAAATTAACACTAGCTATCAATATATATATATATATATATATATATATATATATACCTAGTTTTTAACTTTCTGTGTTTCTTTGTGTGTGGTCTAAATATGCTAATAAAAATATAGTAAATATTGAAGTTGGCTGTCTATTTTCTTGCTATAGATCAATTACTATAAGTGAGATGAGGTTTATCTCATCTCCAATTTATTTTACTTCAAATAAAGGGATACGATAAAATTATTGTAGTGTCCCTTACACAGACAAAGGCAACTTATTTTTCACTATTCACACATATATGGAATTATCAGGAAAAGGAATAATAAAGAGCAGCTGAAATCATCAGATTTAAATAGAGTAAAGTATCAAAAAACTTACCTGCAATTTCTTCTAATGTATTGGCATGCATGTCCAGTAGCACAGTTCCATTCAGAACACAGCTTCTCAACTCAAACAAGCTGTGCAATGAAAGTGTAGCCACATAGGGCTTGCTCCACCTCTCTCCTCCATCTTCCACATCTTCTTCAAACTTCAACCACCTGTATAAATGCATATTCTTGTGAATATATTAAGAATTATCCTTTAACACAAAAGTAAAAATTATAAAAAAAGTGCTCTCCAAATTGATTCTTATTTTTGGGGAAATAAGGAAAAGGTAGCCCAGTTTATTGTTACTTTCTCTTTAATTGGATTAAACTAACATTTCAATTAAAATAGATTATTAAAAACAGAGAGATTCAATTTTTATTAATTTATGTAGCTCTGCAGTAATGTTCTTTTTTTTCTGTAGTTGGAACTCATAAATCTCAGTATTTAGAATGATAATTTTTCCAGTAAATTTATATGAGGCTTATGCAATATGAGACTTACTGTATAGGAAAAAAATCTTGTAATATTTGTCTGGAAGAAAGCTCTTTATGAAAATCAGTGGTAGGGCCTGGATATATGAGGATTGAGATTGGACATAATTTCATGGGTATTCTTGCCAAGAATGGAACAAAAATTCTGAAGTCAAGTGGAAAATACTGTCTTCTTAGTATAAAAGAAATACTCAGCAATATCTAGAAACATTTGTAATCAAGACAAATAGGACAGACAAAAGAAGTCAATGTTTTTACTACTGGGTAATCAACTACTCAATGCTTTAGGGACTTGCTCTCTAATCTTAACAGAGGACATGTCTAATTTCACCTCTTTTTTATGAACTCTAACTTAAATTGCCTTTCCTCTTCCATTCCCCTCATTCATGCCTCCGGCCTTATCACTTTGGCCATACTTCGTTATTCCAAATGAAAACACACACAAAAAAGTTCTATGTAATATTATGTTGCTGTTAATGTAATAAAATGACACAACTTTAATGGATGAAAATCCTATGTGAGAAACTAAACAGAGAATCAATGCACTAGCAGAGTTTGTTAGAATATGCAGTGTAAAAATGAGTATCAAAAAAGCCATGGATCGATCTGTCCTAGTATTCAAGGAGCAAAATACTATTCAAAGTGTCTAAAGTAAATTATTAGAAAAGAGCTACACTTACCTAACATTACACATAGTGAGGAAACTTATGCTTATAAAGAAAATGTACAGCATAAAAAAAATCACATTTTATCCCTAAACCATTGACAAAAACCTCTTCAAAGAACATTTTGTCAATATAGTTTTTCTATTTCCTTTATTTGTTTGTTTGTTTATTCTATGATGCTGTTCTTTGTTTGTGTTGTTGTTTATTGTTGCTGGGAGAGACGGGTGTGGGAGTTCTAGCTGGAGAAAGGGTCCCACTATATAGCCACGCTAGCCTAGCCTTCCCTCCTCCACTTCCCAATTGTTGAAATTACAGTTGTGAACTAACCCACTCAGCTAAGGAGTTTTTCTATTTGTATAGGTGTATGGGTGTGCACATGCAGGCGTGCATGTTGGGGGAGAGGATTCAAGTGCACAAGGGTGCTTGTGAAGGTAGTGTCACTCCCCAGGAATCATCCACCATATCTTTTATGTTTTTATCCATTCTTTGAGAATTGAATTTTATAAACATATTTTGATTTTATTTTTCCTGTTCCTAGAACACCTTCCAGATCCTCCCCACAGAAACTCACTACATACAGAACTTTATGTTCTCTCTCTCTCTTAAATAAAAATGAAAAACAAGAAACACACAGCTTTATTTTGGTTGTCAACTACACTTGAATATGGGACTGCCATGAAATATGGTTGACATATACAGTATTAGGCCATCAGGGAAAAATGCCATTTTCCCTCTCATAGCAGATATCAATTTTGAATAATAATAATTTCTTGGCTAGTGGTGAGATTTTTGTGCCCACTTCCCTCCTTGATGGGACTTTTGTGTGGCTTGAGCTTGTGCAGGTCTCATACATGCTGTTATGTGAGTTCATATGTCATCAGCCCTCTTGTGTCTGGAAAATAGTTTCCTTGATGTTGTTCACAAATTCTGTATCTTACAGTGATCTCTCTGTCCCTTCTACATAGAGCTCTGAGCCTTGAGAAGAGGGGTATGATAAAGACATCCCATTTAAGAATGAGAGTTCCTTATTTTGGAGACAGTGTCTCTTATTAGAATCTAGTCTTCACTGATGATTCTGAGCTGGCTGGCTGGGGAGCCCAAGGGGTCCTCCTGTTTCTTCCTCTCCAGTGCTGGGATCACAGGAACACAATGCACGCCTGGCTTTTTACCTAGGTGTTGGGGGTTGAACTCAGGAGGCCTTCTGGCAAGCACTTTACTAACTGAGCTCTATCCCCAAACTCTTTAAGATTTTTTTGTCTGATTGATTCCTGAAGTTTTTCTGATCCTTACACATCCATAATACTCATACTCAATTGGTGATAATTAGTATTGGCCTTTTTGAGAGAGTGGGATATTAGTATGTGGCTCCCTTTTAATTGTATGCACCCACATGACTGTAACTTTTTCTGATCAATGAACTCAGACTGCAAATTATGTGTGTTTCTTCCAAGACAGAATATTTAGCTGTGATTCCCTTGATCTTTCTTTTTCCCTGATGGGAAACCAATCACGACCAAGATGAGCTCTATTCTATCAACCAAAGTCTTTAACAACAAACATATAAACAGAGCCTACACTGATCCAGGATGAATATGAATAATTAGTCATAAATGAACAGTATTAAGCTATTAAGATAACAGAGTATTTTATAGCATAATTCAGCAGATCCCAACTGATATAAATCATGACCTCAACTATCCCAGCAAAACAAAAAACAATAAAACCCAACTAGCTGATAAAACAAACAAACAAAACCAGTTAGGATCATTGTTGAGCATTACCAAAGCTTTTCCTGAGGCCCTGATATATACAGAGAGGGGACACAGCTCCTTCTCTAAAACCAGGAACATGTTATCTGAGCCAGTAATCACCTGCAGCAAGGGCCTTTGGGGAACTTGGGCTTTGGATCCTGACAACCCAACTTTTCAAATACAAGGCTGTGGGCAATACCTCCAAAATGCAAACTTTTTCTTCTCTATTTCCTATCTCCTTATCTTCTGACCTCTGTCTGGTCTTCTCTCTCAAGATCCTGTCACTGAAGACTGACATGGTGACCCAAGTCAGGTGACATGAATATGACCCCTATATATTTAATTAGTTAGTATTTCTTGCCATACATACATATATATTACATATTCATATTTGTGTGTATCAATCTATTATCACATTGAGTGGCAATATCACAATATCACAAAAATCAACTTCTTTGATGAACAACTTGAAACAGAATCTATTAGAGTAAGTCTCTTGGCTAAGATAACAATAAGAAATTTGACCAGCATTAGCAATATACACACAAACTACAGTGTGAACAAGATAAAGTCTCACAAGTGCTCTGAGCCAACTTTGCATATGAATAACATTAAACAAATCCAACACATTAACAAATTGTTCATGATCTTCTGGCTAACAATCTCTTCAAATCCAACTTGTAATTTCGTTTTCCCCAGAATCTCTGGGCATTTCTTATCATTACAGAATTCCCCAGCATCTATTTATTTTGGCCATTATCAGCCTTAACTTCCTATGTTTCTTCCTGTAGCAGAAAAAAAGTAACAGATACATTAAATTTTCAACCACAGCTGAAAACAATTTCATCCATAAGAAATTCTGTTCTCTTTCTTCTTATTTATAATTATAGAGGTTTTCTGTATTGCCAACTGTGCAAGATTAAAATTGATAATTTTTAGTAAGAAACCTTTTATTAAATTGCCTGTCACTTTGTATGCTACTCTCAGGTGATGTGGTGTTTTCAGATAATAGAAGAGAGGATGAAGGGAAGACTGGGTAGGGATTGGGGAGAAGAAGGAAGGAGATGCAGAAGAGAGAGGAGAAGGAAGGGGAAGAAGAATGAGGAAAAGAGAAGAGGTGAAGGGTAGGGAGGCAAGAAGGGGGAAAGGAGAATGGGGATGAGGAGCAGAAGAGAAACAAAAGCAGGAGAAAGAAGAAAACCATGACAACTACAGTATCACATGGACTGGCACAAATTTCACTGAAGAACCATAGTTTTTTTTTTACTTGATTATAACTGTGTCAACTGACCTATATATACATATATAACATATACAAGTATACAATTTTATGTAGTATTTATAAATTGTAACACAAATTCATTTTTTAAAAATACATAGAACTTGTTGCATCTATATTAAGTGATTGAATTCCCTTAAAAAGAATATTTGTATTTAAATTTTACTTTTAGATACCAAGGGAAGAGATGACTGGGCTTCTATATTATTCCATCATATTTTAAAGTAAATGTTTTATTTTTTACTAATAATTTTTATTCTTTTGAGATAATACTAGAGTTGCATCATTTCTCCCTTCCCTTTCCTCCCTCCAAAATACCCCATGTTCTCCCTTTTGCTTTCTTTCAAATTCATGGCTTCTTTTCCTTTAATGGTGTGTGTGTGTGTGTGTGTGTAATGGGTTTAAGAATGCTGGCAAGATGTATAATTGGGGTGCTTTTATCCATTATGTTGATCCATGTCATTTCTGTCACAGAAAAGATTCAGACATGCTACTGAGACACACACTAAAGCCCTGATGCCAAATCTTTGTGTCCTAAACCTTCACTTAGTCTCTGTTTCCTGGCAATCACTAAACTAATCTTCACTGCTCTTTGTGATCTTGAGGATGCAGAACAATGTGATTGGAAAGGTTTTAGAACTGCCGCTTTTCAGCAGAGATTCATCAAAGTTGCTGCATGCATCAATAGTTTATCCATTTTTTTCCTTCTGAGTAATGTTCTGTATAGACAGGATAGATAAATCAAAGATTGTTTAGTAGAATTTATTGTTTGTAAGTTTTTCTTTTGCCAAAAACCCTACCATGAACATGCATGGAGAAATTGATGTGTAATCATAGTTTTCACTTCTGTGTAACAAACGCCTAAGAGTACAGCTGCTGTATCAAATAGTATGTGCTTATTTGTATGAGAAACTGCCAGAATGTTTCTCCAGCATATTACTCAAAGCAGCAAAAATATGAAAAGTTTAAGTTCTCTGCACTCTT